GATCTACTAAACTTGCTTAGGAAACAGTTACACAAAGTAGAATTTAAAGGAGCACTCCAGGATGAGTTAGTATACTAGCCAGACTTGTTAGAAACCATGGGCAGTGGGTTAGAGAGATGGCTCGTTAGTTAAGAGCACTGGCTGATCTTCCAGAGGAGGCAGATTCAAGTCCAAGAACCCACATGGCAGCTCACAACTGTCTGTAACTCCAGCTCCAGGGGATCTGGCACCCTCACACAGACAAATGTGCACATAAAATAAAAATAAATAAAATATATTAAAAAAAAGAAAGAAACCATAGGCAGGGGAAATCTGTCTCTAACTTAAAGGTCTAGGTTTGTTGATAATGTGTTTCTGTTAAGATTTGCTCTCTGAACGCTGTGCATGGTGGGGCACACTGTTAATCCCAGCCCTGGGAGGCAAAGGCAAGAGGACAGTGAGTTCTAAAACAGCCAGGACTACACAGAGACCCTGTCTTAAAAACAACAAAAAAGATCTGTTCACTAAGATTGCCACCAATTAGGCTCCACGCCCACAGTAAAAGGAAATAACACCTTGTTCACAGTAGGCCATTAGGCCTATTGCCTGTCAAGGACCAGAACATGCCTCTGTAACACCCAGTTCAGTGGTGCAGCACTGGGTCCCGGCCACCAATAAGTCCCAGTTCTCTCAGCAGGAAGAACTCAGTTCTTCCAGGTGGGCAGGATGACCCTGGCCCCTGAGTGCCAGCTGCTGGCGAGAGCAGTCCTAGTCTGTACTAGGACAACAGTTTTACATTGTAAATCTCCCCACTGTCCTAACAGCTAAACTTTGGAATTTTTGTCTCTGTGAAACGTATTTAAGTTGGGCTGTGAAAATGCAGAAGCCAATAGGGATTTCTGTCCAGCCCTTTATGTATTAGTAAGAACCAGTTGCATACTTACTGTCATTTCTCAAGACAGGATTTTTCTGTGTAGCCCTGACTGTCCTGGAACTCACTTTGTAGACTAGGGTGGCCTCGAACTCAGGGATTTGCATGCCTCTGCCTCCCAAGTGCTGGGATTAAAAGCACGTCCCACGGCCGGGCGGTGGTGGCGCACGCCTTTAATCCCAGCACTCGGGAGGCAGAGGCAGGCAATCTCTGTGAGTTCGAGGCCAGCCTGGTCTACAAAACCAGTTCCAGGAAAGGCGGAAAGCTACACAGAGAAACCCTGTCTCAAAAAAAAAAAGCATGTCCCACCATACTTCACCCAGTCATATACTCCTATTCAAGGGTTTTTCCTTGTGTTTACAGTGGAGTCACAGGTATTATGTGGATGCTGTATCTAAACTCGGGTCTTCATGATTTCACAGCATTCTTAACCAGAGCCATCTCTCTAGCCCTAAAGTCATATTCTCATGGGCACTTGACCCAGAGTCTATAATAAAGAACTTGTTTTAGTTTACAGGCATTCTAACAGCACAGCTAGAACTGGAACTCTTCCCTAACTGGATTAAAGTTGATAAACTGGCCTGGTGTGGTGGTGCACACCTTTATCCCAGCACTCAGGAGGCAGGAACAGGCGGATCTTTATGAGGTTGAGGCCAGTCTATATAGCAAGTTCCAGGACAGTCAGGGCTATGTAGAGAGACCCGATCTCATCAAACCCCCATTAAAAGAATAAAGTTGATGCCCTTTCTAATTACCAGAAGGTGTGGACTGGTGGCTTGGACCTGGCTTTCACTAAAATACCTTCAAGATTAGGGTCTTGAACTCCAAGGCTCAAAAGATCCTCTCCATTTCAACTTTCCAAGTACTGAGACTAGAGTCACCACACTCAGTTTTCAAGTAAGTTTTATTTATTTATTTGTTTTTTTGAGACAGGGTTTCTCAGAGTAGCCCTGGCTGTCGTGGAACTGGCTCTGTAGCCCAGGTTGGCCTCAAACTCACAGAGATCCGCCTGGCTCTGCCTCCAGAGTGCTGGGATTAAAGGTGTGGGCCACCACCGCGCGGCTGAAAGTTTTACTTTTGAGTTTTTGAGATGCGGTCTCACTTTGTAGCTCTGGTACTTGTGTAGACCAGACTTGCCTTAAACTCAGAGCTCTGCTTGCCTTGGCCTCCCAAGTGCTGGCAAGTACTTGGTTCTCTCTGTGTAGCCCAGGCTGTCATGGAACTTGCTGTATGTAGCCCAGGTTGGCCTCAAACTTGTGATCCTCCTGCTTCTGCCTTCTAAGTGCTGGCTAGCTACCACACCTATCCTTTCATTTTAAATGGAGTATCTTGAATTCATGTCTGGATTTCTCATGTTTTTTAGGGAAAGAAAGATTTAACACCAGGACTCGTATCCTTCAACAACAATCTGATGGAATGTCACACACGTGTATCCAGAATTTTAATTCCACTGCTTTTCATCTCACCTATGGCCGGACCCACTCTTAAGATTTCCAATCTGAGCCGAGCAGTGGTGGCGCACGCCTTTAATCCCAGCACTTGGGAGGCAGAGCCAGGCGGATCTCTGAGTTCGAGGCATCCTGGGCTACCAAGTGATTTCCAGGAAAGGCACAAAGCTACACAGAGAGACCCTGTCTGAAAAAAAAAAAAAAGATTTCCAACCTGCCTTCTACAGGTCTGATTTTATTTCTCCTGCACATCTGCCATCTTGTCTCCCACTGGTCAGCAAACCTAAAGATGGCTTCTTTTAGTTGATTTGTCACGGACAGGTCTCTGACCATAGAGGACTGACATTTTTGACTTACCATTTGTACATTAAGGAACCTACTGGTACAGTAAAACTGGGATCCCTGTTTCTCAAATTGTGTACATTCCGGCTCATTCCAAGGAGCTTCCATGTTTTGTTTTGTTTTTTTGGTTTGTTTGTTTTTTGAGACAGGGTTTCCTCTCTGTGTAGTCCTGGATGTCCTGGAACTCACTCTGTAGACCAGGCTGGCCTCAAACTCACAGAGATCCTCCTGCCTCTGCCTCCTGAGTGCTGGGATTAAAGGCATGTGCCACCACTGCCCAGCTCTATGTTTAATCTTTAAAATAGCTGCCCAGGAGTAGGACAGACAGTGGGTAGAGACTGGCAAGATGGCTCAGTAAAGGCACTTGCCACCAAGCTTTACTGAGTTCAATCCCTCTTGGACCCACAAGGTGGAAGGAAAAAACCCAACTCCTGCCAAGTATACTCTGATCTCCCCATGTGCACATCCCACACCAACAATAATGATAACAAAGTAGCCAGGAATCAACAACTTGCTGCAATTCAAGGAGGCTGCAAGGAAGAAAAGAAAAGAAAACAAACCAAAAACAAGCTGGGCGGTGGTGGCTCATACCTTTAGTCCCAGCACTCGGGAGGCAGAGCCAGGCGGATCTCTGAGTTCAAGGCCAGCCTGGTCTACAGAGCCAGGTCCAGGACAGGCACCAAAGCTACACAGAGAAACCCTGTCTCGAAAAAACCAACAAAACAAAACATACATGGAGAAACCCTGTCTCGAAAAAAACAACAAAACAACCCAAAACAAAAATCCACAGGAAACAATGCCACCCTTGGTGGAGAGACCTCTCTAGGCTGGAGGACCTCTAAATAAGGATCACTCAAAAGCTAGAAACTAAAGCTTGCTCCACTCACTGGCCCTTTCAAGGGTCTTTAAAGCTGGGAATGCAGCGGTACTTGAGAAACTATGCTCCGTTTTTAAGGCTTCTGGGCGTCCATTTCCTGTTTGCTCCTTAAACAAGCTGGTACCACCACTGACACAACAGCTCATAGTATCTGTTTAATGTGCGTGCCTGTTTCTGAAGAGTGTGAGCAGAGAGCCATGAAATCTTCTCAGTGCCAGTGGTTAAGGTCTGTTTGTTTTTAAAAAAATCTTTCTGCAAAACAGGACTGAATCTCATGGGGACAGACTTTCATACTGAGTACCTACCATGAAACTTACGCAGTTCATTTCATGTAAGCTTGAGTATTATTAGGTATTTGAATTTTACAGGTAAATAAAATTACTGTAGGAGCAAAATTTACTATAGGGTGAATGACAGCTTTAGATCTTCATTTGTTCTTAATAGTGCAACGGCATCCTTGGAGGCCTGTCAGAAAGACAGCAGGGAGGCTGTAGAGATGGCTCAGTGGTTAAGCATCCTTGCTGCTCTTGCAGGACTCACATTTGGTTCCCAGCATCCACATCAGGTGGCTCACAACCCCCTGTAACTCCAGCTTCAGGGGATCTAATGCCCTCTTCTAGACTCTGTGGGCACCTGCACTCAAACATGCACATACTCGTATATACACATACAATTGAAAATAAAATAAACCTTACGAGGCTGGAGTGATGACACCGTGGTTAAAAGCACTTGCTATTCTTTTAGAGGACCTGGGGTTTGGTTTCCAGCATTTCTGTCAGGGGCTCTTAAATGCCAGCTCCAGGGAAGTCAACAACCTTTTCTGGCTCCTTGGACAACGACAGACATCACAAACAGACACACAAAAACAAAAATGAAATAAAATAAATTTCTGTTTGTTTGAGACAAAGAGTTTCTCTGTGTAGCCCTGGCTATCCTAGAACTAGCTCTGTAGACCAGCCTGGCCTCAAACTCACAGAGATCCGCCTGCCTCTGCCTCCCAAGTGCTGGGATTAAAGGTGTGTGCCACCACTGCCTGGTAATAAAATAAATCTTAAGGAAAAAAAGACAACCCAGGACATCCCTAGTAGTTCCCCCACCCCTTGTTCCCACAACTAGGTCCATTCCAAGGTATTTTATAAATGGAAAGTTTCTTCATCTTATCTCCTAGTCAATATGGAAAACCATCACTGGGCTTTTCTCAGCAATGTTCAATTCATACCAGCTCTCGACCCTGTGAAGGTGAGCCATATTTAAGTAAAATTTACCTGGTCACTGCAGGTGCCTCCTTCTACCTCAACAGGTGAGACATCCTCTCTGTAAGTGGGATTGGTAGTATGCACACAGAAGAATTAAACAGGATCACAGAGAGAAAGGCTGAAGAAACAGGCTCTTTGTGTTTACTTGTACAAGGAAAAACCACATGTGGACATCTGCAGTATTTAATTTGTTTGGGTAATAGTTACAGATAAACAGGTACACGCCATATACAATGACCAATACTTTTTTATACAGCTCATATTCAGTACATCAACACTATCTTATTTACACTCTATGTACATCAACGTCCTCCTAAAGTCAGTGCATTGTCAACAAGTTTTATACAGAAATTTACAAGGTGAATGTAGTTAATAGTTAATTTAATAAATTTTCTGCTAGTTCTTGAATTTAAAAAATTAATTACAACCAATATAACAAACACAGATCAAACAACATTAGTAGATTGTGCTACCTGCTCAACTAAAACATCTGTAAGGAAATTATTGAAAATCTTCCACTTTTTCAGGGGACTTGTCCAGGTAGGAGTGGACAATTTCATACATGAAAACCTTGACTCTACGAAGTATGCGTTTTGTGACTTCATTACATCACTCCTCTCAGGCCATTCCTTCCTTTTAAGTACACTCACTCTTCTGAAAGGATGTCAGCCTAGGCAGCTGCTTTAGACAACTTTTTCAAGTATACTGAAACTAGGCGCTTGCTCACTGGTCTCAGTTCTCAGAACACAAACACTAACTGCACTGGTATTTACTGTCATGGGGAAGGGAGGGTAACAGGATCTGACAACAAATGAGAATCAACTTCCAGGGTCTCCGTGGTTTTTTAAAAAAAGACCAAAAATAAAGTGAGAATTCCCTTGACTACATATTAAAACATAACACAGGAAAAATGCTGCCAGAAATAAATGACATTTGTACTTTTGTTCCAGTTTTGAATAATTAGAAAAAAGTGAGCAAAGAAATGTAATTTTTGGAGGAGTGGACATGCAAACAACTGGAGCTGCTTCCTAACCCCGCAGCTTCGTTAGCAATACTACAAACTATCAATGTCGGATGTAGTCTTGTTTTGAAATTTACACTCTGGTGGAGTTCATGTATAGATAGCCCTTAGAGCCATTAAAGAACAAGCACAATTGTTTGCATGTGTTCTCTCTTTTAAAGTGCAAAAAACGAGAAGCAAAGAACAAAAACCCACCACTAACAGGAAACACGTCTGGCTTTTGCATACCTTCCTAGAAACTCTTTGTGCAACATATGCATGGGACTATGGTGCAAACCCTGGCAGCTGCCACACCCAGCAGTGCCCCAGTGGGGACACTTCAAGTATCCTAGAGAAGCCTCCACAGGAGGGCCACCTGGGCTGGCCTTCTCCTGGGTCTCTGTGCTGAGACTGGGTAAAAGGCACGTGGTCTTAGGGACACTTGGGTTCAGACCAACCACCATAGCTTCTGCCACCAATCACTGTTTCAAACACAAACTCAACAAGAACAAAAAGCAAAAAAAGACATAGAAAGAACAGGAAAATGGTTCAAAAATTGAAAACTCTGTGTCCACACTGTAAGAATCATCTGCAGCCCTGCATGATCTTGCTTTCTCCATTTGTCAATACAATGGAATGAAACTTCAGGGAAAAGGAGGTAGCATATCATGTCGTCCCCAGACAACATTTCAACTTTTGTTTTTTTTACTTTGATTCCAAGGAAATCCTTAGTATCCTGTTATGATTATTGGTAAATTCTATACTCACTACAAGTTTGTTCATTATCTGGACAAGCACATTAAATTCTTAATTGGTCCCAGGTGATTGGTGCCAAACCCTCTTGTTTACAGGCTAATGGTGGGGTCTGCCTGAAAGTCCTCCATTGGACAGCTTGTGAGAGACTTCAAAACAAAATTATTACTATTCTTAAAGTTGACTGCTATTTTAGTTAGGATTTTTATTTTGTGCTTCAGGTCACAGGATAAAATAACTACATTTAGCCTGCTTTTCAGTGACGATTCTGCCAATGTCACCTACAAGGATTCACCTTCCTTACCACCAGCCCATCTAGCAGCTAGAGCGGTAGCTTTACTGTAACACACAGTACTTCTTGTAATCGGATTCAAAGTCTTCATCCATGCTGCTCGTGTCTGCCATTTTTTTGCCATCAATCTTTGGCAGAAATTGTGCACAGTCTATCCCCTGTTGCTCATAGAAAAGGATGTAGGCAGAGTCGGTGTCCATTTCATCAGGGTGAAGTTCCTAGAGGGATAAGAAAAGCCTTTAGGGGGCTGGAGAGATGGCTCAGAGGTTAAGAGCACTGACTGCTCTTCCAGAGGTCCTGAGTTCAATTCCCAGCAACCACATGGTGGCTCACAACCACCTGTAATGAGATCTGGTGCCCTCTTCTGGCCTGCAGTCACATATGCTGTATACATAATAAATAAATAAATCTTTAAAAAAAAAAAAAAAAAAAAAGAAAAGCCTTTAATTAAAAAAAAAAAAAAAAAAAAAAAAGCCACTGCTGTGTTGCCTCTTAGTCCCTGCCAGGAAAACCAACTCTCTCTAAGTCTCTGAACTGACTCTGACTGCTTGAATCAACTACCTCACACCCGCACTGAAATGAGTCTCATTATTTTCAATCTTTGTTTTTGGGGAGTATTCTAACCATAGGCAAATGAATGCCCAAACCCTCATCAAATTATTATTATTTGGTGGGTGAGAGAGAGTTTTCTTTTGGGACAGAGTCTCATGTAGCCCAGACTGGCTTTAAACTAATTTCAGAAGGAGCATGACCTTAAACTCCTGAGCCTGCCTCTACCTCCATCAAAGGTGTGGCCACCATATCCAACAAACCCCACCAAATTCTAATAGTTCAAAACAATCAGCATTGGAGAGGCCAGGTCTTTAGTATAAGTCTTTCCTAATATGTGTGCCACTCTGGGGTTGATGTTCTGTGTGGGGAGGGGATGGAGAGACACACACAGAGGACAGGACATGGTCAACTGGAACCCCCAAGACGGAATCCCTCACCAACTAGCACCTTCTTCTTACTCACTATCCGTATTTCCAGTTCCTCTCCAGTCTTCCCATCACCTGTCTTCCTAACCCTCGACAGCATTTATGCAGATTCATATAGACACATCATTTCTCGGTCAGCAGAAAGGCTATTTCAAATTTGTCAGCATTCTGTTCCTAACTTTCACTTAAAGGATGAGAACATTTACCTTACAGCTGCTGTCATTGTAACAGTACCACTTGCAGTTTGGGTTTTTGGCATAAGTGACATAATGGCCCCCACCCAGAATTCCTGAATGGCACTAAAGAGAGAAGAGAATGGCGGTATGTTAGTAATTAACAGTACTTAGCCAGGGCACAATGCTAAGATCTGAGCAAGAGAACACTGATCACATAGGTAGTAAGGGAAAAAAATGTGTGCAATCACCTAATTTTTTTCAAAAAACAAAATCTTACATACACACATACACACACACACACACACACACACACACACACACACACACACACTGCACATATGTGTGTGTTTAAAGACAGTGTCAGCCGGGTGGCAGTGGCACATGCCTTTAATCCCAGCACTCTAGAAGGAGAGCCAGTCAGATCTTTGAGTTCAAGGCCAGGTTGGTCTACAAAGCGAATTACAGAACAGCCACAGCTACCAAGAGAAACCCTGTTTCGAAAAAAATAAAAAATAAAAAAAGGATAGACAGTGTCTTGCTACATATCTTAGGTTGGCTTCAAACTTGAGATCCTCTTGCTTTAGGTCTCAAATGCTAAGATTAGAGCCACGTGCCACCTAGTCTGGCCCTGTAACAGTTATTTAGAAAGCAAAATTTCCTTAGAGAAGCACTAATTGAACCTCTGGATCAAATTATACTAATTACACGGCCATCTTCTAAATCACACTGTGAGCTTGGAGTCTATCCAGGAGGCCCAGCTCTTGGTTAACTTTGTCTATTACCAAACTTAATGCTCAGCAAGTAAGTAAGTTCTGAAAAAATGCTAGGTGATGAATGAATGAAGACAACTGAACAAACCATTGAAAAATTAAGACTTTTTTGTCCTTCCAAGACAAGGTTTCTTTGTGTAGTCCCAGCTTTTTCCTGGAACTCGCTCTGTACATCAGGTTGGCCTTGAACTCAGAGATCTGCCTGCCTCTGCCTCCCGAGTGCGCCACCATGCCCAGTGTAGACTATTTTTTGGAAATCTATGTAGCGCGTCACTTACCGAAATTGCATATAGATTATAAATAGGTTTACTGTGAGTATCTTCTCTTTGGTCATCAGTGCTGTCCTCTTCACTGTGGTTTCCAAGCTGACCATTACTATAACCATTGCCACATGCCTCATGCTCATAAAGGAATCCATTAGCCAAAGTGCTCTCATGATCCAGAGGAGTGACCAGCTCAGGCTGGCTGCCTCCCAACACATGTCCTTGGCTTAAGGTGTCAGCCAGTTCATATGTCTGTCCAGCCCCATTCTCTTTGCTAGCATCCAAATTTTCCTTACTACTCGACAACTTATTTTTGCTGCCAATTTGAGGAAGCCGGAGCCTCCCTTTGCTCCTCCCCAAAGTCCGTGGGCTGCTGTTAGGGCTACTGTTTTTGCTGGAGGGACAGCTGGCTCCACCCTTTCTTGAAGAAGAAGGTGAACCTGTGAGAAAGACAGAGGGAAAGATTTTTAAGTTCAACTGCCACAAGTTAAGTTCGATACCAAATGGTAACTCTGAAGCTAGCTTCCCAAATGTACACAGAAATGCTGACTGCCTACTCTCACTCCTTATTCCATAGCTTGTGATGGCTATTCTTGACTGTCCACTTGACTACATCTGGAATTAACTAAAACCCAAGCAGCTGAGTACACCTGTGAAGATTTTTCTTAATTAAGTCATTTGAAGTGGGAAGACCCATTTCTAATTTGGATCTTTTGAGAGGTGGGAAGATAAACCTTTAATCCAGATTTTCAAGGTTTTATTTTGTGTGTGTGTAGTTTTTTTTTGTTTTTGTCTTTTTTTTTTTAAGTTTTTCAGAGACAGGGTTTCTCTGTGTAGCCTTGGCTATCCTGGAACTTGCTCTGTAGACCAGGCTGGCCCCGAACTCACAGAGATCTGCCTGCCTCTGCCTCCTGAGTGCTGGGATTAAAGGTGTGCACCATCATCACTGCCCCAAAATCCTGATAGTTTGATGTAGTAAAATCCACCTAATCTGGGCCACACCCTCTGGCGGCAGCCTATATAAAGGCCATGGAAGAAGAAAGCTATCACTCTGCCTGCAGACACTTGCTCTGGGTGGCAAATTCATTCCTTCACTGGTTATTAGAGTCTGCTTCTCTGGGATTCTGGTGTATGCTGAAAACCAGCTGAGACATCCAGACTAGTGGACTGGATAACTACTGATTCTTAGACCTTTCCTTGGTAGACAGCCATTAGTGGACTAACTAGCTGGACCACACTCTGTACACCACTCGAATAAATCCCATCTATTTTGTGTGTATGTATTCATTCTGTTGGTTCTGCTCCTCTAGAGAAACCCTACCACACAACTAATAAAACAGGCAACAGCACACTGCAGGGATATAGAATCCTGGGAAGGTGGTCTATGTCATAATCAGCTCCAAACCATGAATTTTAGTAATACATTCTCAGGCTGGGTGTGGTCTTGTTACTCAACAAACTAAAGCAGAAGGGTTTTGAGTTCAAGGCCAGCCTGGTCTACAGAGCAAGTTCCAGGACAGCCAGAGCTACATAGTGAGACCCTATCTCAAAAAAAAAAAAAAAAAAAAAAAAAAAAGTTTAAGGCCAGTCTGGGCAACATTCAGGTAAAGCTCAGTATGGGAAACTTAGTGAGATGCTACCTCAAATAAAGATAAAAAAAAAAAGGGCTAGAGATGTATGTATTAAATCTGTAAAGCACTGTCTAGCATGTGTGAAATCCTGTGTTCAATACCTAGCAAAATGAAGGGGGAAAATACATAAAAACTCTGGGAATTAAAACTACACAACTCAACCATCTATTTCACTGGTAAAAGGTTAATTTAACTACATGAAATTTTCCCTGACTCCACTGTACATTTTTCAGAGAACAAAAGTCAAGCTCACACACAGGGCTGGAGCTTTAGTTGGTGGGAACATGGTAAAAATAATCCTATATACTTAGTGTTCTTTCCCTGTGGATCCCCCAAGATCCAAATAATTACAGATCAAACTTACTAAAAAACCTGCATTTGTGCTGAAGCATACAAATTTCTTTTGTATGATTTCATGAATATTGTAACAACAGCTATTTACATAACAGTGTAGTAGCTATTTTCATATATGTATATTTACATTTATATGTGCATATACTTGTGGGTACACATACCATGATGTTTATGTGTGATCAGAGGACAGCTCTCTCCTACCATGTGGGTTTAGGGACTGAATTTAAGCATCTTTATCCACTGAGCCATTTTGCTGGCTCTTGTTTATATTTTTGAAGACAGAATGTATGTAACCTAGGCTGGGTTTAAAACTTAGAATTCTGGAGCTGGAGAGATGGCTTGGCTCAGCAGTTAAGAGCACAGGGTGCTCTTCCAGAGGATTCAGGTTCAGTTCCCAGCACCCACATGGCAGCCCACAACTGTCTATAACTCCAGTTCCAGGGTATCTAATACCCTCATACCAATGCACATAAAATAAAACAAAAACAACCTAACTTAGAATTCTCCTGCCTTAGTTTTCTAAGACCTGAGATTATATAGGTGTGTGTTATCTCACACCTCTTTCTTGTATTACTATAAAAAATATAGAGATGATTTAAAATGTCAGAGAAGATATGAATAGGTTATGTGCAAATATCACACCATTTTATGTACAGGACTTGAACATCCATGGTTTTTGGTATCTGTGATGGTTACAGGGTCAGCTTAGAATTGAGTGGGTTTAGAATCATCTAGGAGAGACACCTCTGAGTGTGCTTGAGGGTATTTCCAGGAAGGTCTAATTAGGGAAGAAAGATCCACCATGACTGTAGGCTTTACCACCTTGTTGTCTGGGGTCCTGAACTTAAAACAAAAATGGAAGAAGAAAATAGCTACACACCAGCATTGATGTCTCTCTGCTTCGTGACTATGGATAGATATAACCACTAACTATACACTACTACTGCTGGCATTTCAAATCCTTTTGCCCTAACTTGGTATTCTCTCCATTTTACAAATGACAAAGGAGAATCGAGATTTAAGGAGGGTATTATCTTGTGCTAAAAGTCACAAAGCTGAAATACAAATTACTGGTCCAGAATAGAAGGCCGTGGGAGCTACAAAGCAAGACCAAGACAAAGGAAGGAAGGAAGGAAGAAAGGAAGGAAGGAAGGAAGGAAGGAAGGAAGGAAGGAAGGAGAAAGAAAGAAAGAAAAAGGAAGGAAGGAAGAAAGGAGGGAGGGAGGGAGGAAAGGAAGGACAAAAAAAGGAAGGAAAAAGAAAGGAAGGAAGGAGGAAAGGGGGAGAGGGAGGTAGGGCAAGCCCCGTTCCCTTACCTTTTGGGCTACTGGTGATATTTGCACTGAGTGAAGATGGGCTCTTGCTCAGGAGCACATCCTCCTCCCCTGCTGAGCTCTGGACATCCACTTTCTTCACATCTCCTCCTGAAATCCTTAGCTCAGAGCTGTCATCCCCCTGGGGTGTGAGTGGTTTATGCTGGCAAAGAGCTGGGTCTCTTGGTACTAAAAAAGCACTAGGGTCAAAACTTTCACGAGGAAACTTAACAATTTTCTGTGATTTTATCCACCGTCCATTTACAAACTGAAATCGTTTAAGGTGAATAATCTGAAGAAGAAAAGGCAGAACAATTGCATTCAAGGGTTCTGAAGAACATGTAACATTTGCACATTGTTAACAATCTCAAATATAAGTTGTTTTTTTTTTTTTTTTTTTTGGTTTTCGAGATAGGGTTTCTCTGTGTAGCCCTGGCTATCCTGGGCTACTCTGTAGATGAGGCTGGCCTCGAACTCAGACATCTACCTGCTTCTACCTGCAGAGTACTGGGATTAAAGATAAGTGCCACTATGCCTGGGCAAATGTAAGCTTTAAATAAATGCTTTTATTCTTTGTTTTATATGATGGTTATATGCATATATGCAATTGGCAGAGTCATCAAATCTGATATTCAAAAATCTATGCATTTAACTGCATATTAATCATATCTTACATTTAAAAAAATTCCCTCTTCCTTACCCACCAGATCCCCAAGTCCACCCGGGCCCACTTCTTCTTTCCCTTCAGTTTCATTTCTGGAGTTAGCTGAATGAATGTTATCAATTTCTTGTATATCCATCCTTGGGAAGCTATTATGCTCAAGGAAAGAAAAATCTACATTTATTTTCACAGAATAGTAGGGTTATGACATAAACCAGAGTCTGTTTAGAACATCCTAGTCCCGGGGCTGGAGAGATGGCTCAGAGGTTAAGAGCACTGGCTGCTCTTGAAAAAGATCCAGGTTTGGTTCCCAGTGTCCCCATGGAAGTTAAGCTCTGTAAACCCATTTTCAGAGGATCTAATACCCTCTTCTGGCCTCTGGGGGGCACTGCATGCACATGATGCATGTGGTGCACATACATACAGGCAGGCAAAAACACCCATACATAAAAAAAGTATCCTAATCCTGGAGCCAAGTGTGGTGGTGCACACCTTTGATCCCAGCACGAGGGGGGCAGAGCAAATGGATCTCTGTGAATTTGAGGCCAGCCTGGTCTATATAGCACGTTTCAGCTAGTCAGGGTTACATAGTAAGACCCTGTCTCAAAAGAAAAGAATCCCAGCACTGAGTTGTGGAGATGGCTTAGTCACTAAAATGTGTGTTATGTAAACATGAGGGCCTAAGTTCAGATCCCCAGGACCATGTAAAAAGCTGGACATGGTGTGGAGTCAGGGCGGGTGACAGGGTGGAGACAAGCAGATCCCTGAGCTCACTGACTAGCCAGCTTAGCCAAATGGATAAGTTTCACGTTGGGTGAGAGACCATGTTTCAAAAAACAAGGTGGCGTGCTGGTGGGTAAAAGGACTTGCTGTAAGGCCCAATAATCTGAGTTTGATTCCTAGAACTCAAATAAAGGTGAAAAGAGAGACCCAACTTCACAAAGTCACCTTCTGACCTCCATGCCGTAATTCGTGTGTGCTATGCTAGCTAGTTTTATGAAAGTATGATACAAGCTTAAGAGTCATTTGGAAAGACAGATTCTCAATTGAGAAAACTGCCAGAAAATCTGGCTATAGGCAAGCCAGTAAACAGTACTCCTCCACAGTCTCAGAGTTCCTGCCCTGACTTCCCTGGATGATGGACTGTGATATGGAAGTATAAGCAAAATAAACCCCTTCCTCCCCAAGTTGCTTCTGGTCATGGTGTTTTGTCACAGCAGTAGAAATCCTAAGGTGTAAACTGGTACCAAGAATGGAATATTGCTGTGACCATGTGTTTTGGGGAAGACTGGAAAATTTTGGAACCTTGGGTTCATTGAGTGCTCAGAGTTTAATGAGCTGTTATGGGAGATAATGCTGCAAGCCAGTGCAGATGATGGGAGCCTTGGCTTGTGAGGTTTCAGAGGGACGGAAAGATTCTATTAGGGATGTTTGTGTGATATCTGAATTATGGACCATTGAAGTAAAATCTTTGCTCTGCAGTGACAATGCTGGTTAGCTGGAGCTGAGAAATCAGCTGTATTTAAAAAGAGACCAGCATCATCGAGGATTGTAAATCTGAGAGTATTTTCTCAGGGTCAGCATACAGAAGCTGTGGTCCAGAGGGGACTGAGGCTACCTCTCAGGATGCCATCCAAACTTGGAAGTGTAAGGGTCACCTGAGTGGTACTAGTTTTGAAGGCATGAAGGGGTTTATGGACAGCACCTGAGGCTTAACACTGTGTAGCAGGGCTGGAGTCCCTGAAGACAGGCATAAGCATGCAAACACGCATATACAAACACACATGCACATGCACACACATAAACACACACATCCTAGTACTGCTGGGGTAGAACAGTGCACTTTTCCCTCCCTCCTTCCCTTCTCTGTAGGGTGTCTGTAGTACTTGTAAATGCATGAAGGGGGAGGTCAGATGACAGTCTCTCTCTCCTGTTTTCACTGCTGAACACACCAGGCTAGCTGGCACATGAGTTTCCAGTGATTCTCCCATCTTCTCATAGGGGAGTTATTGTGTCTGGCCTTTCTGAAGCTTTTGGGGATCTGAACTTAAGATTCTCAGGCTGTGTTGCAAGTGCTTTTACTCAACTGAGCCATCTCCACATCACTTATTTTTTATTTATTTACTTATTTCTGAGACAGGGTTTCATTCTGTAGCTCATGCTGACCTGGAACAAATGGTAACCATCCTATCTCAGCCTCCCAAGTGCTGACATTACAGACATAAATGCTTTCATAGTTAATCTGTCTTTATAAACTCTGCTGATGGCAACCAGAGGCAGGAAAGTCAACCAAATCTGAGAGAGTACAGCCCTGTGCCCTGGTATACTTGCACACATAGCACACAGCCGTGTGCAAAGCCACTCAACTCTTCACTGGACATGGAAGCTCCTGAGCTGGCTGCTTTCCTACAGTCTAAGTATGGGCTAGCCTAAGCGTTCCTCTTTTATAGGGCTAGAAGGGCTTTCATTCTCTTTTGGAATTCAAATTTACCAGGTTACAATCCATTCACAGTATTTCTCATGTTGCACTAGATTGTAGTTACTGGCCTGCATCACTTTTTCTCCTTCAAGGCTCTAAGCTCAGTTATAGGATGTAGCACATATTTTTAGAACAATTAATTTCTCTGTTCAACATAAAAATCTTGCACAGAAAAGTTCATCCATTCTTTTTTAAAGAAAAGATTGTTGTTTTTAGTTAATGTGTTTGTGCATCTCTGTGTGTATATGTGTACAAGAGTGCAGGTATCTGAGGAGGCTAGAGGTGTTAGATCACCCTGGGGCTGGGAACCAAACTGAGGTCCACTGAGCCATCTCTCCAACTCCCAATGCCCCCTTTTTTTCCTCTTTTTTTTTTCCTTTGAGTCTAGGTCTTACTTTGTAGTCTGGGTTGGCTTTGAACTCACTATGCTGCCTAAGTTTGCCTTAAGTTTTCGGTGATCTTCCTGTCTCAGCCTCCTAAATTCTGGGATTACAGGTGTGCGCCACCATATCCAGGTATAAAAAGGTTTTAAACACCGCTACAGAAGTACCTTATCCTCAAAAGAATAGCCCCCAAATCCCATTAATGACTTCTCTCATTTACACTAGACTGCTCTCATAGAGGCAAGGCTATTAACATACCAGAATTGGAGGAAGCCTCCAGAGGTCCAGCTTCTTAGTTGCCAAACAGTGAGTTTTACACTTGGAGCAGTAGTACATCTCATTTTCCCCCAGTTCCTCTTCACTTGTGAAGGCACGGAGACAGCTGTCCAGGTTGATGGGCTCAGCCTGTGCTCGCCGACTCTGCTCCACGCTTTCATGCTCCTCTACAACCTACAAGAGGAGGAAATAGAACAAAGCAGAATTGTGAGGAGGGCATTTACAATAAACACTGGATATGTACCATCTTTTTTCTTTCTTTCTTTCTTTTTTTAAATCTTTTTCAGAAAGATTCGTTTATTTACTATGTATACAGTGTTTGCACACCAGGAGAGGGCACCAGGTCTCATTATAGATGGTTGTGAGCCACCATGTGGTTGCTGGGAATTGAACTCAGGACCTCTGGTAGAGAGCAGCCAGTGCTCTTAACCTCTGAGCCATCTCTCCAGCCCAGATATGTACCATTTTATCAGTCATTCACTCGTTCTTACATAGTATATATATGTTGGGGGGATATAACCCAAACTAGGAGCCGTTGAGCAACAAAATGTACATATGCACACACACACACATTCACAAACATCCTATCAATAACATCCTTGATTAAATGTTTATTTATACAAACTAGATTTTCCCTTTAGAGATGTGCCTCATGTAGTTCAGGCTGGCCTTGAATTCACTATGTAACTAAGAATAACCTTGAACTGATCCTCCTGTTTAACTAAATAGAAATCTGCCCAGAACTGAAACATTCTCTCCATGGAGCTGAAGAGATAGCTCAGCTCTTAAGAGCACTGGCTGCTCTTCCAGAAGAACTGGGTTCAAGTTCCAGTAACACATGATCTACAGCAAATATCTAGAATTCTAGGTCCAGGGGATCTCAAGCCCTCTTCTGGCCTCTGCAGGCATTGTATACGTGCACATAGACATACATGCAGGCAAAACTTCCTCACACAATTTCCTCCAGGAGGTGGGCAGGAGGTTCAAGACAATCAGGAGGCCAACAAACTTTACATAACGCTGAAACCTGCAAGGTCTTCAGCCTCCAAAACTGTGTACAACCAACAAACAACTGTCTGAGAAGACCCTGGCCAGGCAGAATGCTGAGAGTTCTTGACCTATCCAGCTGCCTGCAGATGTGCAGCAAGCTCCACAAGTCAGGAGAAGTCAGATCATCTGGAGTCACCATGTGGATACTGGGGACCTGAACCAGGGTCCTCTGGAAAAGAGCTACACTCTTATTCACTCTCTAGCCCTGATATAGCTGTATAATTCAATACTTGTTTCTGTGAGTAACCCCTCACCCATACTTCTGTTAGTAACCCCAATAAAAACCCAGTGGTCCACCAAGTTGGACTCTGATGTAACTGTTACTTTGGTCTGTACTGAGTTCTTTTTCTGAGGTGAGTAGGTGTGGGTGCGTGCTGTATAACCCTGGAGAAAACAGGCGTGTGCCACCGCACGTGACTTTAAGCTGTGCTGAGGAAGGAACCCAGGGCTCTGTGCACGTCAGGTGAGCACTCTATCAACTGAGCTGCGGCCCCAGTCCCTGACCATACTTTCTCTTAAATTTTTTTTCCCAAATCCTTTGAAATGACAAAACAAAAAAACAATAGTTAAATTGCTTGTCTATTTCACAATTTTGAAATCTTTAGGACAGTTTAAATGTGAACTAGCCTTCAACGAAAGAGTAGTAAGTAATTTCTACTTTAGGCAGAAAGACAGCATTAGAATACTGCACATGACAGAGTTAGGAGAAATAATATGGAAACAGGTGGATGAAATAAGAAAAGATCCAGAAAAGCTCATCATAAGAAAACAATACAGCCGGGCGGTGGTGGCGCACGCCTTTAATCCCAGCACTCGGGAGGCAGAGCCAGGCGGATCTCTGTGAGTTCGAGGCCAGCCTGGGCTACCAAGTGAGTCCCAGGAAAGGCGCAAAGCTACACAGAGAAACCCTGAAAAAAAAAAAAAAGAAAACCAAAAAAAAAAAGAAAACAATACAGCCCAGGGTTGGTGGTGCACACCTTTAATCCCAGCACTCAGGAGGCAGAGGTAGGCAGATCTTTGTGAGTTCCAGGCCAGCCTGGTCTACAGAGTGAGTAGGACAGCCAGGGCTATACAGAGAAACAGTCTCAACCTCTCCTCCCCTAAAAAAAGAATACAATATGCTAGGCATTAAACCCTAATATTGTAACTCATTTGCATATCAACATATGTAACAGACTTATCAGAGTACTAGATGTCATCATTATATGTTTCATGACTCTGTGTTTTGGAGGAGGGTATAGGAGGGTAAAGTGGATTAAATCCCTTATGCAGGCTAGGCAAGTACTCTACCACTGAGTTGCCTCAGTTAAATGGAAGTACTTCTATCTGTGATGGCAACAAAATGAAGAGCAAGCTTTAAAAGAGCATATATTTGTTGATACAATCTCTAATTTCTGGCCAAAACAATGGGGTCCAGGTAACTAGTATGGTAAACGTTGGAACAAGAAGGAGTTAAGGATGAGAATAGAGAGAGCAAAGGCTGCGAATGTAAATCAGCAGTAGAGTGTTTGCCTAGGGTGTTCTGAGTCTCTGGCTTCAATCTCCAGCATCATAAAGAAAAAACCAAGCACAAACAAAAAGAGCATAAAGGGAGTGGGAAGGGGTGTAGTAGGTCAGAGGAGAATGAAAGAAGGAAGGGCCAAGAAAGCAATAGTGAAAGATTTTCTCCCCCAATCTCATACTCATACCTACAACCCAACAAGCAATCAATAACCATGGAGATGAGACTTGACTGTCTCTACTATGTATGAGAAGGTAGGGAAGGCATGCTATCAGAGATATGGAGGCCACCTGAGACTTCATATATGAATACTGACATTTTTCTTTCCAGGCAGAGCCTGGACTACAGTCCCCACAATTCTTGCTTCTTCAAAGATCCCAGTGTTCACTACTCCACTTGCTACCCCTCCTCCACAGGTGAACTGCTTATCTTCACCTGAGGAACTATCTATTAGCTTTACTTGAAACTCTTGGGAACACTGGACTGCTTGGCACATTTCAGCCTATTTCATTTACTGCAGGTTTCCAAGTGAAACTTTTTCCCTACAAAGGAGGTAGCTGAGTCACAGGCTGTCAAATGTGCCAATAAACTATCAAGGTTAGAGTTCATTAGACAATCAAAGTTAGTTTTGTTTTGTTTTGTTTTTTTTTAAAAACAAGACAGGGTTTCTCTGTGTAGCCCTGGCTGTCCTGGAACTCATTATGTAGCCTTGAACTCAGAGATCCGCCTGCCTCTGCCTCCTGAGCTGGGATTAAAGGTGTGTACCGCCATCACCTGGCTAAAAGGGAATTTTGTTTGGGTCACTGACAAACAAACAAAATTGGTAATAATAAAGCACTAACAATCTCTCTCAGTATGTCTCTGTTTCTTTGTGACAGGGACTTGCTCTGTAGTTCAGGTGGGCACTGATCACCCTAGGTAGCCAGGTGGCCTCATACTCCTGATCCTCCTGTTTTAACTTCCTGAGTACTAATATTGTGAGCATGTGCTACCATGGCTAGCTCTCTCAGTATCCTTTGAACTGGTCATCTTAAGGAAAAGTGGATATGCAGAGGAAACATGTTGGCTGGATATACACACCTATAATCCTAGCACTCAGGAGGCTGAGGTGGGAGGATTACTACATTAAGACTAACCTGGGCTACATAGTGAGATCAGGTCGCAACAAAACAAAACAAACAAACAAAAAAAAAATGTATCAGGCTGGGGAGCAGGCTCAGTTGGTAAAGCGCTGGCCATGTGTTCACATGAGAACAGAGTTCAATTCCTCAAAAACGAAACCAAAAGCCTGAGTGTGGTGACATGTGCTTACAAGCTCAAGTGCTGGGAAGGCAAAAGGAGAGATCCTTGGAGCTCCACAGCAAACTAGCCTAGTCTAATTGGTGAATTTCCGATCAATAAATGAGAGACCCTGTCTCAAAGCAAACAGACAAAATGAAATCAAAGTAGACAGCTACTGAGGAATCATACCTGAAGCTGGCCCCTGAACTTACACATACAAAACCACCCTGTATCACAGCTGTCAGCTCTGCAAAACCCGAAGTGTATAAAACACAGGGATGCCTCTCTTTTCATAACTAGTAAACTTCCATGTCTGTTGACTTCATTAGGGATGGTTTTATGGCATGCTACAATATAGTAGTAAAGAATGATGATTTTTTTTTTTTTGGACTACCATGGACTATAAAGTTAGGTGGGGACTAAAAGACTGATAAAAACATTTTTGTGGACTGACAATAATTAAATTTATCAATACAATTTCCCTTAATTTCTTTTACCTCCTGGGATCCATGGTTAGATCCTCTACTACTATTCAGACAATGTATTATTTATAAACACCCTCTTCCAAATTATAAAAATATAGAAATCTTTTTGTTTGTTTGTTTTTGAGACAGGGTCTCTCTGTGTAACAGCCCTGACAGTCCTGGAACTCGCTCTGTAGGCCAGGCTGGCCTCAAACTCACCAAGATCCGCCTACCTCTGCCTCCTGAGTGCTGGGATTAAAGGCGTGTGCTACCATGCTCAGCTGAAATCTTTTATATACCTTTGTTGTTTTATTTTATTTTTAATTATGTGTATGTGTGTGCCTGTGTGGAGGAATGTGCATGTGTGGAGTTGCCTGTGGAGTCCAGGAGAGTTTGTTGGATCTCCTGGAACTGGAGTTAGGTGGCTCACAACCACCTCACAACAACAGGTGGCTGTGAGTCACCTGGGTCCTCTGAAATAGCACTACAATGTGCTTAATCACTGAGTCATCTCTATGGCCCCATATGTATAATATATAGGTAATATACATATATATATATAAATTAATTAATTAAAAGTTTTAATTTTTGAGACAGAATCTCATGTGTAGTTCTGGTTGGACTGGAACTCTCCATGTAGATCAAGTTGGCCTTGAATTCAGAGATCTGCCTGTCTCTGCCTCCCTAGTGCTGGAGGCAGATCTCTGTGAGTTCGAGGCCAGCCTGGTCTACAGACTGACATCCAGGACAGGCACCAAAACTACACAGAGAAACCCTGTCTCAAACAAACAAACAAACAAACTGTACAGAACTATGCCTGCCTGGCCTTTCACATTCATTTAAAACAAATTTCCTTGCTTTGTTATTTTTTTGGTAGTATGTGTATGTATGTGCATGTGCCACAATATGTGTGTCAGTCAGAGGATAATTTGAGAGAATCGGCTTTCTCCCTTTTACCATGTGGGCTCTGGGGATTGAATCTGGGTTGTCAGACTTGGCTGTTAAGGGTCCTTATCTGCCGAGCCATCTCAGTGACCCTATATCCTTAACAAAAGGAAACCACCAGTAAAAATATATTGTATACATGTATGAAATTACCAAAAATAAAAAATATTAACTTTTTTTTTTTACAAAATTAAAACCTTGGTATTTTGCTATGTAGTAAAAATTAGTAATCATTATTTTCAGTGACTACATAATAATTTATGTAATGAATATACCACATTTTAACCATACTTCTAATATGGGATAAACACATTTCTAATTATTTACTATTTTAAAAAAATGATATATGGCAAACAGAATACTATTTTCCAAGGAAAATTCCTAGATGGGAAATCATTGAAACAAAAATATAAAGCAAATGAGTAATATCCTTAACTGTGTACCTAGTTCCTTTATATGACCCTCTAAGCAGGGCCAGGAACCACATTTAGTAAGAGCCCAGATTAGTCATGTTTCCATTCCCCAGAAAGATAAGATAACTCAATAGCTCCAGAGTTCCCACTGTGTAATGCATCACTGAATGTGGACGTAGGTGAGAATGACAGGTTACGTGCTGGCTCTTCCTGTAAGTGGATGTCCTTCTCAGACTGGACAACAGGCTTGTTAAAAAGGGGAAGAGGTTCAGAGAGCTAAATAATTTCCTGTCTTTGATAGGACTGCTTTGTCAGAATAATATCCTGTTACAAGTTGTGCTGACAAAGACTTAGAAGTCTATCAACTGCTAAAAGTTTCCTTATTCAAAGAAAGCTTGAATAAGTTTCCAAAATGCCTTGCTACAGTGAGCATGACCTAGAATATCTTTTCATATTTTCCTGTGCTTTTAGCCTAATGGTATGTTTCTTCCTCTGCCCCTGTTTTGAGACAACCCTGGCTGGCCTTGAACTTACTGTGTATTCAGTCCAGGCTTTGAACTCCTGATCCTCCTGCTTCCATCTCCAGTGCTAGGATTATAGATGTCTATTACCATGTTCAGACAAGCCTAGAGATGTTTTGTTTGGCAAGAGTCTACAGTACAACAGGCAGTGACAGTGCATGCTTTAATTCCAGCAATGGGAACTCTATGAGTTCGGAGGCCAGCCTGGTTTACAGAGTTAGTTCCAGGACAGACAGTATTTCTTTGTGTAACCCAGGGTTACACAAAGAAACCCTGTCTCAAACAAAACAACAACAAAACGAGTCCACAGTATATCCATTCTTAGCTACAAAGAGCTGGGCTTGTGGTGGTATATTTGGGCATCTAGATAGGGAAGTAGGTCTTGAATTGGTAGTCATCCCATTTCTCAACAGCGTAAAAAGTCAGAAAAGTGGAGCTGGTGAGACGGCTCAGAAAGTAAGAGGGCTTGCTGCCAAGGCAGAGGACCTGAGTTTGACCCGAGACTCCCATAGCAGGAGGGAGCCACTCTTCTCAAGTTGTTCTCTGACATCTACATAGATGTACCTCGCCAAGAAATAAACAAATGTAATAAAAAGTCAGACAAGTCAGTGACTACTTTTAACTTATCTAAAGAGAATGCTTTTTATAAATAAAGGAAATTTCTGACAAATTAAGAGGCATATAATAAACCTACTACAATCTGTTAGAAACTTCTTTGATTCTGTTTACTTCTCTACTAAACTCTTTCTGGTTTTTCTTTTCTTCTTAGATGCTAGGGATTTAATCTAGGGTCCTGACCATGCTAGGAAGTGTTCTGTTATTGAGCACTATCCCCAGTCTGGGAGAGTCTTTCTTTTAAGTTTCTTGAGGCAGGAGTGGTGGTACACAGCTTTAATCTAGCAGAGGCAGGGAGATCTCTCCATCTCTGTGACTATGAGGCCAGGTGGCTTACATAGTGAGAACCTGACTCAAACAAACACAAATCAGAAAGTTTTTTTGAGATAAGGGTCATCACTATGTGGTTCTAGGCTGGCCGGGAACTTACGACAATTCTCCTGCCTTACCTCGAGTAGTGGGATTAGAGATGTACATTACCTAACAGATTCTATTAATAATAATAATGATAATAATAATTTTTAAAAAAAATTTATTTATTATGCATACAGTGTTCTGTTTGCATGTATCCCTGCAGGCCAGAAGAGGGAGCCAGATCTCATTACAGATGGTTTTGCGCCACCATGTGGATGCTGGGAATTGAACTCAGGACCTCTGGAAGAACAGCCAGTGTTCTTAACCTCTGAGCCATCTCTCCAGCCCCTAATAATAATAATTTAAAAAATTATCTATTTATGTGTTAAGTGTTTCTCTGTGTGTTTCTCCACAGAGGCCATAAGACGGCACCAGATCCCCTGGAGCTGGAGTTACTAGGGGTTGTTACCCAGGTTCTCTGTGAGGGCCAGAAATACTCTTAACTGCTGAGTCATCTCTCTAGCTCTTGTAACTTCCTTTTAAAATCTTAATTTTTTTAAAAAAAGATTTGTTTATTTTTTTACTTATGTGTATTGATAGGTTTTCAGTCTGCATGTGGGCCTGAGTACTATGTGCATGCAGTGCCCTTAGAGGCCAGAAGAGGGTACTGCATCCTCTAGAACAGAAGTTGCAGACTCCTGCTACTAGCTGGCTTATGGGTGCTGGAAATCAAACCTAGGTCCTCTACAAGAATAGAGGTATTCTTAACGGTTGAGCCATTTCTCTAGCATTCCTATAACTTCTTAAATGCACTGTTCTGTTACAAGATTAGTATTTCTGAAATTAATTCCCCAATACAACTGATTCTAGAAGTTGAGGGGGAAAAAAAGCCAAGCAAACATGCCAGTATATCAAGCACCACAAAGAGTGCCACTAGTTGTTTTTCCGATTTTAGTTTGTTATGATACAGTTAAGATGGGAAATACTTCCCATATAAAACCACCACCTTATCCCCACCCCCACCCCCGGCCCATCACTCACTCTTTCCTGTGATGTTTGATAGCGGAGGTGAAGGGCTGTAGGGTCCCAATCCACAGCAATACAGGCATTTCCAATGAAAGCTCTGTCTTCTCCACAATCAATTTTACAGCCTCTGCAAAATCTAAAAGGGGAAAGCATTCACAGATGAATAAACCGTAAAGAATTAAAATTTTCTCAATTAGAAATACTCTTTAGTATTTCTCCTAGCTCCATAGTTTGTCAGATTCTAACTTTAGCATCTGATAAATGCAGCAGTAAAAGTTAATAATAATTTCAGGAATCATGTTTGTAACTTCAAGTCTTTGGTTTCAAAAATCACTTAACAGTTGTTAACATATAAAAAGAGTTCCATGGCAAGTAAAACGATACAGAAACTAGCTGCTATTTGACATAAACTGACTTGAAAGAAATTATAAATTCATTTCTACAATGCTGTAAGCTTATCTTTTTGTAAAATAGCACCCTAATTAAATATGTATACAAAATTTATAGAAGCAGGTGCAAGGGCAAGACACAGTCATGGCTCTAATATCTATGAGACTTTGTTATTATGACATTACAGTTTTCTAAAAGGTGACTTCAGAAAGATTGGATACTGTCCTTGCTGTAACAACAATGAGCCATCAAACTCTTGTAAAACCTCAGGGAAGATTACTAGCAGGGTTAGTAATCAGATTATGTTCTACTACCTAAGAAAGAACATTTGGACTAATAATAGCCATGTGCATGACTGTAGTCACAACTCAGGAGGCTGAAGAGGGTCACTTGAGCCCTGGAGTTAGAGATCTGACTGGGCAACACAGTAAGACTCCATTTAAAAAGGACCAAAAAGGGGCTGAAGAGATGTCTCATCAGCTGAGAGCACTGGCTGCTCTCCTAGAAGACCTAGGTACAATTCCTAGCACCTACATGGCAGTTCACAACTGTCTATGACTCCAGTTTCAAGGGATCTGACACCCTCACACCAATGCACATGAGATAAAAAATTAAAAAGGACTAAAGAAAAAAAAAAGAAAGTTTAGAATAAAAATGTTTATCACTTGTTATTAATTTGGGGTGGAGTGAAATCTGTAAAATTACATGTCTGGAAAGCAAATTTGTACTCTGGAATTTACAAAGAGATGGACAATTCTCAAGTTTATCTCAAGCTTCTCATTATTCACAATTGCATTCTAAATAAAGGAATCTTATAAAAAAGTACTACGTTTGAAACTGAGTCTACTGAGCCTTGTTGTATAGAAGGCGACTTTTACCTATACCACGGGCACCAGGCACAGGAATTTCCGTCTTTCTGAACAACTCGGAGGGTGAATGGATACTGATAGCCCATGCTGTCATCACTGGAAGAAGAAAACACACAAAGTCTAAGAAGCATGTCTGGTTTGAGAGCTCTTAAACTTATCCTGGAGAAGGTTCACTTTCCACAGCAGTGTGCCCATGCTCATAGTTCCATGATGCTCATCCTAACCCATCAAACACAACCTTGAACCAGCCAGGCTGGACCATCTGAATCTGGTCACACATACTAGCACATACTAGATTGCCACAGGTCTTCTTCTTTTTACTTTAACTTTTTTCTTTTTTTGAAACAGAGTCACGTAGCCCAGGCTGGTCTCACACGATGTGGCTGAGGATGACCTTGAACTTGTGGTCCTCCTGCCCACACCTCTCCAAAGCTGAGATTATAGGTTTGTACCACTACACCTGGTTTAGGTGATGTGGAGGCGTGAATCCTGGGTCTTTTGTATGCTAGGCAAGCCCTCACCCAACTGAGTTACATCTCAACCAACTTTATTTATTTATTTATTTATTTATTTATTTATTTATTTATTTATGCTTTTTGAGACAGGATTTTCTCTGTATAGCCCAGCTGTCCTGGAACTTACTACCCACTCTATTTATTTATTTATTTATTTATTTTTGCTTTTTGAGACAGGATTTTCTCTGTATAGCCCAGCTGTCCTGGAACTTACCACCACCCAGCTTACATTCCCAGTTGTAGTATCCTTTTCCCTATCTTTCTTAAAGCCATACACTATCTTTAAAATTAATTAAAAAAAAAAACCACCAGAACAATTATGCCTTTAAAAAAAGATTTATTTATTTATTATGTATACAGTGTTTTGCCTGTATGTATGCCTGCAGGCCAGAAGAGGGCACCAGATTTCATTATAGATGGCTGTGAGCCACCATGTGGTTGCTGGGAATTGAACTCAGGACCTCTGGAAGAGCAGCCAGTGCTCTTAACTTCTGAGCCATCTCTCCAGCCCCCAATTGTGCCTTTTGAGTTCTCCAAAGTTTAACAAAATCTACTAATCCTTGCCTAAACAAGAAGCAAAATATCAAGTTGTGTACCTTAAATATATACAACTCCTGGGCTACAGGTGTAGCTCTGGGGTACAGGTATTTAGGAAACACATGGCCCCCTAAAAAGCTCCAACAAACAATTGCATCAAATTCTTGTTAATTATAATCATGAAGCTTGGTGGGGGGTGGTAAGGGACACGCACTTAACAGCTTATTTGGCAACTGGGAAGCTTTTGTATGGCACAGGAGCTCTTTCTGTATAACCCAAATGATGGACCTGATTGTACATTGGCATGTTCAAAGCAAGAGACTAGCAACCAAGGCATACAAAGAAAGGGACAAAGAATAACCAATCAGCACCCTAAGAGGGGATGGAGCAGATACTGAGCTAATATAACCCATCTTTCCTTGTTATAGCTGGATACACAATTTTTCAATACTAGGGATTAAACCTAGGGTATTGTGCATGCTAGGCTGGTACTAGATCACTGAGCTATATCCCTAAGCTTCCTTTCATTTTTCATCTGGAGAAAGGATATCATACTAAGTTGTTCAGGCTAGCTGCAAACTCATTCTAGTAGAGGAAGGTCTTAAAATTGCTATCCGACTACCTTACCCTGGGGAGCAACTTGGATTATGGGAATGAGTTCCTAGGCTTAGCTTCAGTTGGGATGTTCAAAGCCCCCTAATGGACCAAATGTTGAAGGCCTGGTTCCTAACCTGTGGTACTATTGAGTGGTGGAGGAACCTTTAGGAGTATGGGCCTAGCAGAATAAGTTAGGTCACTGGGAACATGTCCCTGAAGTGAACTGGGGTCTTGGTCCTTTCTTTCCTGTTTCTTGGCTACCCTGAAACAAGCAGGCTGTTCAACTGCACATTCCCCAACAAGATATACCTTGTCACAGGTGGTGCAAAGCAGTGAGGCCAATGATTATGAACTAAGACCAACGCAGAAGTATGAGCCAAAACAAACATTCCCTTTAAAATCTGGTTATCACAGGTGTTTGTAGCCAAACCTCTTCAACTCCCCTAGAACCTGGTTCTTGGTTTTCTGTCTCTATGTATTTTCTTACAGATACTTTTGAAGAGCAAAACCATTAGGTCATAGTGGCACGTATCTTTAATCCCAGCACTCAGGAAGCACAGGCAGACAGAGCTTTGTGAATTTGAGGCCAGTTTTGTATATATAGTGAGTACCAGGATAATCAGAACTATTTGGTGAGACCCTATCTCAAAAAGGAAAAGGAGAAGAATAAAAAAAAAAATCAAAATTATACAGTATTTGTTCTTAAAATTGCATTACATTTTATTTATGGGTATGCATATATGCATGCCATGGCACCCATATGGAGGACAACTTGAGGGAGTCAGTTCTATCTTTCTACAATGTGTGTCCTGAAGATCAAACTCGTAAGGCTTGGTAGCAAGTACCAATCAATACTGCTGAGCCATCTTTCCAGCTCTACTTACACCTTTGTGTCTGGTTTATTCCATTTAGTGTAAGGTTTTCAAGCTTCATTTATGTCATAGCATGTATCAGTGGTTCCTTACTTTTGATGTAAGTAATACTGCACTGTATATAGCACATTTTGTTTATCCATTATCTGATGGACCTTTGAGTTGTTTCAACCTTTTGGCCACTGTGATCCATTAAATTCACTTGATGGACATCAGAGGCATTTAGTAATTTTAGTTATAAATAGTTCAGTGTCTACTTGCAAAGACAAACTTGGTATCTAAATTTTAATGTCTGAAGTATTTTTTCTTTAACCCACTCTTCCTTCCATGTTTCCACTTATACTAATACAGACTTCACAAGATCAACAGAGACCGTTTTAGTGCAGGTGATGGACCAGCCTGACTCCATCTGAAGGTCAGAAGCCATCTTATTACAAGTCAAGATAAGTTCATTCTTGTTTTATGTAGAACTTAAATTTGACCAGGTCTTGACCCATTTTCTGGAATTTGACATGTTCCACACCCTATACTCTGACCTCTGCCCTGATAAGATGTTCTACCAAATAATTCTGAAATGTTCATCCAAGTTTGTACATAACCAAAATTCTTCTGGAAATCCCCCAACCCTTAAAAACTTCCTAGGCTTGCATTTTTGGGGTTAATACAAACCCCACTTTCTCCTATGCTTGAGACTATTTTCTCAAGTCACACTTTAGGGAGATAGCCCTATCTGACAAAAAAAATAAACCTCGCATAATTTGACTAAAAAAATTTGGGTCAGTTATCTTGACTCCTGTTCAGTGGGATTAACACAGTGGGCAGTGTTCAGTCCTCCTCTTACTCAGTCTCTCTGACTTTAAACAATTGGTCATATTCCTCTGGTTGACCATTCATTCCTTCTGTTTGTTTATTTGAGACAGGGTCTCTCCATACAGTCTTGGCTGTCCTGGAACTCACTCTGTAGACCAGAGATCTGGTCTTGAACTCACAGAGATCCTTCTGCCTCTGCCTCCCGAGTGTTGTTATTAAAGGCGTGCGACCATTCAGTCTTGATTGGTTAGACATTACTGGCTGCTTCTTTTCCTTCCTTTCTGAACCTCTGATGTTGAAATACATCAGGAATTATGTCTTGGGCATTTTTCTATCTAACATTCTCTTAAGTAATAGTCCCCCACCTTAGGACTTTAAATATCTACTTGTTGGTGATACCTGTATTTCCAGCAAAGGACATTCAAATCCACTTCCCACATGCACAATAGCTATCTTGAATTTAACTTGTATTCCTGGCCTTCTTGCCAAAACCTGTTCCTTCTTGAATTTCTCATCTCAAAAAAAGGACATGATCAGTCACAAAATTGCTCATGCTGGAAACCTATCCTTTTTCTCAAAATCGATTCCCAGTCCAGTAGCAAATCCAGGGGAAAGTCTTCACCTAGCAGTGCTTTTCAAATTTAATCCTACCCAAATATCACTTCTACTAAAACCAAACATCCATTAGTTAATTTGCTTATGAATTATCTGCAGGTTGAAGACTTATCCTAACCTCTTAATCATCACAGGACCCTCTAACATAAGAAACATAACTTTTTTTTACTCTGTTATCACAGAAGCTACTTCTCATTGCCACACGAGCAAGAGAACGGGCTGCAGCTCAACTGCGACAGAAGACACAAACTCTCAAAGGGAAGCATTTACTGATCCCACAGAACTGTAGCAGAAGAGCACAAAGAAAACAAGAAAGGTCCGCCATCGCTACCTAGGTTTATAAATGACTTCCTGTTGATAAGGCACAGTATGGACACAATCCAACTGAACCATGTTATGGCATCAGTCTTTTTCAGAGTGCATTTCTAGATCTGTACATGTTCACTCTCATTCTAAATTTCAGAGGAGTGAGATGATACAAATTTCCTGGTGAAGTCACACTTTTGACTTTCGCAACAAGAGAAGACAAGGACATTTACTTAAAGCATTTCAGGAGGGATTTAGGTGAGAATAAAGAATGAAAATAAATCACAGATGGCAGTGGTGCACACCTTTAATCCCAGCACTTAGGGGGCAGAGGCAGGCAGATTTCTGTGAGTTTGAGGTCAGCCTGGTCTACAGAGTGAGTTCCAGGACAGCCAGAGCTACACAGAGAAACCCTGTCTTAAAAAACAAACAAACAAACAAAAATGTAAAAAAATCATTAGACATTAGGATGTTTAGTTGATAAATAGGTCTTCTATATCACAACATATTCATAGAAGTTATTCTTAGTATTAAGAAACCATAGGACTTGGCTTATTCTCAGAACCTACCAATCCTGTGCATGGTTACTAGCTTCTTGAGGTGGGAGAGGACTGGCCAATCGAGATACTTGAATCCAAACTGCATCATAGAGATCTTTTTTCCGGGTATGCACAGTACAAGGCACAATCAGTGGCATTCCAAAGAGACTGGGGCGATTCTTCTGAGATGACAGGAAATACAGTTCTGTCCGCATCTACATGTACAAACAAGAGAAGAGAGTTGACGAGACAGGCTGCCAAGTAACAGGTATTAACGTGCATTTTCAAATCAGTTACTACCACCTATGCAGCTCCACTCTGTGCTTTTTATTTTCCAAATGCCAGATTCAGTTTCTAAAGCCATATACACACAAGAATGCACACACGAGGGAGCCAATGCCCTCTTTGGGCACTGTGTGCACATGGTGCGAAGAATACATATAGGCAAAACACAACCCATACACATAAAATAAAATGGAAAAAAATTATAAAAAGAATGCATATCACATTTACTATTTTTATTGGGATTGTGCATCAAATTTCTGAGTAAATTTGCAGAGAACTAACATTTTTAAATATTTTCATTTAGGGGCTGGAGAGATGGCTCAGAGGTTAAGAGCACTGGCTGTTGTTCATCCCGAGGTCCTGAATTCAATTCCCAGCAACCACATGGTGGCTCACAACCATCTGTAATTTGATCTTGTGCCCTCTTCTGGTGTGTAGGCAGAATACTGTATACATAATAAATAAATAAATCTTTAAAAAATATTTTCATTTAATCCAATAACTTGATCTATTATCTTTTTATTTTTAATTTAATTATTATTGTGTGTGTGTACATAAGTGTGTGTGGGTGTGCCATGGTATGTGTGTGGAGGTTAGGACAACTCTGTGGAGCTGGATCTCTCCTTTTTTTATTACTTAAAAAAAAGTAATTTCTTTATTTTGAATCATGTGTGTGTGTGTGTGTGTGTGTGTGTGCATGTGCACACCACATATGTGCAGGTGACCAGAGGTCAGAGATGTCAGGTCTCCTGGAGTAGGAGCTACAGGCAGTTGTACACTGCCTGGTATGGGTACTGGGAATTGAACTCAGGTTCTCTGGAAGAACAATACACACTCTTAACCACTATCTCTTCAGCTTCCAATTTTTATGACTTTAAAAAAATTGTGTGCATATTTATCTGTGTGGGTTTGTGCACATGAGAACAGGTGGTCCTTGGAGTCCAGAAGAGGGTATGTGATACCCTGGAGCTTAAGTTACAGGTGCTTGTGAACCACCCAACATGGGTGTTGGGAAATAAACTCAGGCCCTCTGCAGGAACAATGTGCACTCTTAACAGCCATGCCAATTCTCCGGTCCTCTCTTTCCACTTTCTGTGGTCTTGAGATGAACTTAGGTCACTTGGCTTGCATGGCAAGCACCCTTATTCACTGAACCATCTTACTGACCCTATTACTTTAAGTTGCTTAACATTTTATTTATTGATTTGTATGGGTATTTTGTCTGCATGCATGTATGTTCACCACTTGTGGGCCTGGTGCCTGTAGAGGCAGACAAGGGTATCAGATCCTCTGGGACTAGAGTTGCAGGCAGTTGTGACTTACAAGATGGATGGTATGACTCAAACTCAGGTCCTCTGCAAGAGCAGCCAGTTCTCTTAACCACTGAGCCACCTCTCCAGCCAGCCCATTTGTGTGTGTGTGTGTGTGTGTGTGTGTGTGTGTGTGTGTGTGTTTTCCCCAAGATAGGGCTTTTCTATATGTAGCCCTGGCTGTTCTGGAAATCACTCTGTTGACCAGGCTGGCCTCAAACTCAAGAGTTCTGTCTGCCTCTGCCTCCCAAGTGCTGGTAATAAAGGCATGCATCACTACCATATGCCCCTTTGTTTTTTTTTTTTTTTTTTTTTTTTGGTTTTTCGAGACAGGGTTTCTCTGTGTAGCTTTGCGCCTTTCCTGGAACTCACTTGGTAGCCCAGGCTGGCCTCGAACTCACAGAGATCCGCCTGGCTCTGCCTCCCGAGTGCTGGGATTAAAGGCGTGCGCCACCACCGCCCGGCCCCTTTGTTTTTAAAAATTCAAAAATACCATGTTGTGGGTACTTTGCCTACATGTATGTCTGGGCACCACATTTGTGCCTGGTACCCACAGAAGCCAGAAGAGGGGGTGGGATATCCTACATCTGGATGGTTATGAATCGTCATATGGGTGCAGGGAATTGAACCTGGGTCTTCTAGAAGAGTGGCAGGTAGTCTTAATCACTGAGCAATTTCTCTAGTACCAATATTTTTGTTTAAAAATTTCCAACAATATTATTGTTTTCTATGTAGATGCCTCCCGTATGATTTCTAAGTTTATTTGTATTGAAATGGATTTTTAAATACAAAATTTTAAAAATATGATGGATTAAAGCATTTATAGAGGTGAATGGTGCACATCTGCCACCAAGATTTGTTTACGTCTAAATTCTGTAATTAGTAAATTCAATCTTATGTGGCAAAGAGTTTTTTGCATTATGTAATTGAGAGTCTTCCCTCCTCCCTAAATTCTTTCATTTATTTTTAAAAAAGAGTTCATATTATTTTTACTTGTGTGTATATGTGTGTCTCTGTGAAATGTATGCCATATATGTTCAGTTACTAGTAGAGGCCAAAAGAGGACACTAGATCCCCTGGAGCTAGATTTATAAGAGGTTGTGAGCCACTGACATGGGTGCTAGGTACCAAACTCTGGTCTTTTGGAAGTGCAGCAAACACTTTTTAACTGCTGATTAAATCATTTCTCCAGGCCCAAGCCGAAGGTCTTTAATATGAGATCATATGATATAAAGAAACCAAGTAAGAGAATGGCAGAGACAGAGGGAAAGTTCAGATGAACGGGCAGGAAACGCAGTTAGGTAGCCACAAGCTAAGGGAGGCTCAGAAATACAAGGAAAAATGGGCCAAGAAGAGTCCCCTAGAGTCTTTGGAGTGGGACAGCTCTGTTGGTATCTTGACTTCGGACTTCTGGTCTCTACACTGTAAAGGAATTTCTGTTAAGCCATAGTTTGTTTTAATTTGTTACAAAAGTCCTTGGAAATTAACATAGTACCTTACCTATAATTTCATTTCTCTTGTTATAATTAATGTACTTATTTTTTTACCACACTAATTTTGTTTCTCCATAAAGCTCATTTTCTTTTCCTTACTAATTTCCCTTTAGACATTTTTTAAAATATATAATTTATTTTTATTTTACGTTCATTGGTGTTTTGCCTGCATATATGTCTGTATGAGAGTATTGGAACTGGAGTTACAGACAGTTGTGAGCTGCCATGTAGGCAGGGCATAGAACCTGGGTCCTCTGGAAGAGCAGCCAGTGCTCTTAACTGTTGAGCTATCTCTCCAGGCTGACTTTTTCTTTTTTTGAAACAGTCTTATTATATAGGCCAAGGCTGGCCTGGAATTCAAGGTCATCCTGTTTCAGCAACTTAAGTGCTAAGATTACAGCTATGTACCAATGACTTTTATTTTCTTATATGAGCAGGGCAGTAATTTTAGCCAACAAACATAAATAATGAGAATTTAAGAACCTAGTGTGATTATTTCTCTTGTTCTTTCTCCTCTGCCCTAGACTAAAGATCAGTGCTAGAGATTAAACCCTGGACTCTTTTTCAATCTAGGGAATGAAATACTCTACTACTAAATAACACCCCTAGCCCCAGAGTGAATTATGAACAGTACAGGAATAACTAATGGCTCTTAGAAATTACCTATCAAACCAACTTTTTTTTTTTTTTTTTTTTTTTGGTTTTTCGAGACAGGGTTTCTCTGTGTAGCTTTGCGCCTTTCCTGGAACTCACTTGGTAGCCCAGGCTGGCCTTGAACTCACAGAGATCCGCCTGGCTCTGCCTCCCAAGTGCTGGGATTAAAGGTGTGCGCCACTACCGCCTGGCTCAACCCAACTCTTTTACTTATTTTATTTTTTTGAGACAGGGTCTCTAGTGTCATGGCTGGCCTGAAACTCCCAAGATATCCACCTGCCTCTGCCTCCTGAGTACTGGTATTAAATGTGTGCCCACTCCAACTCTTCTGTTTTATAAAATGATGACAGCAAAGTTCAGAGGGCTCAATGGCTATTTAGTAGCAGGATGAGAGCCATAACATAGTTGCTCAGTTACTAGCCCAATTGCTCATCCTCCTTTTCTGAGTACCCAACTATACCTCAATCACTTACTTACAGTTTTCAATTTTTTCTTTTTTCTCTTTCATGTGTGTGTGAGAGTGCATGTGTAGGCCCAAGGTTGATGTTGGAAACAACCCTTGATCACTCTTTTACGTTTGTTTTTGTTTATCGAGACAGGGTTTCTCTGTGTAGCTTTGGCTGACCTCAAGCTGGCTCTGTAGACCAGGCTGACCTTGAACTCACAAAGACGTGCCTGCCTCTGTCTCTCAGAGGCACCACCATAGCCCAATAGCCTTGACCACTCTTAAACCTGTTAATTGAGGCAGGTTCTCTTAATTAAATCTGGAGTTTGCAATACAGCTAGTCTTGCTAACCAGCTTATCCTGGGGACTTCCTGTCTCTGTCTTCTGAGCTGAAATGACAAGCTGGCCGAGACCCCCACGTGGCATTTACACAGGTTCTGGGAATCCAAACTCTTAACTTGTCCTCATGCTTGCTAGGCAAGTGCTGTAACCACTGAGCCATCTCATTAACCTCCTCCTCTCAAACCTTTAAAAAAAAAAGTGGGGCTGGAGAGATGACTCAGAGGTTAAGAGCACTGGCTGCTCTTCCAGAGGTCCTGAGTTCAATTCCCAGCAACCACATGGTGGCTCACAGCCATCTGTAATGAGATCTGGTGCCCTCTTCTGGTGTGCAGGAATACATGCAGACAGAACACTGTATACATAGTAAATAAATAAATCTTTAAAAAAAAAAAAAAAAAAAAAAAAAAAAGTGGAGGGGACTTGGAGAGATGGCTCAGCAGTTAAGAGCATTGACTGTTCTTCCAGAGGACCCGGGATCGATTCCCAGCACCCACACGGCAGCTCACAACTGTCTGTAACTCCAGGATTAGACAAAATGCAGGCAAAACACCCATGCACATGAAATAAAAATAAATTAAAAAAAGATTTATTTTTATTTTATTTTATTTTACGTGTATGGGTGTTTTTCCTGCATATATGTCTGTGTACCACATGCATGCAGTGCCCATGGAGGCCAGAAGAGGACACTGGGTCTCCTGGAACTATAGTTACAATAGGTCATAAACTGCTAGTGCTCTTAACCAATGAATCACCTCTCCAGTCCCACCCTCACTTTTTTTTAATCAGAAAAAAATTAACAAGTTAGCCTTCAATGGAAGGCTAGTTTAGCAAGGGAGGAATTACAAAAAAAAACTTGTCAAAGAACATTTTTGTGTCCTCCAAAAAACCACACAATGACAACAATAAACCTTTTCCAAAGGTGCTCACATTTACATGGCAGAGATAAGTCTATACATGTAGGACACACATTCTAGAAGAAAGCAGTACGTGGGTATACTGGCTAGCCAGTTCACTCTTTTATTTTTTGTATGTTTGAGACACGGTCTTAATATTTAGCTCAGGTTAGCCTTTACTTGCTATGTAACCCAGGCTGGCCTCCAAATCATGATTCTCCTGCCTCAGCCTCTCCAGTGCTCCATCTATCATTCTGCTGCCTCTTAACAATAAGGAATGTCATTTCATATAATAGCAGCCACATATGACAAGGAATCCTGGTTCTAACACCTACATAAGCATATATGATAGAATGAGAGTACATTTAAGAAAGATGTGGAGGGCTGGTGAGATGGCTCAGAGGTTAAGAGCACTGACTATTCTTCCAGAGGTCCTGAGTTCAATTCCCAGCAACCACATGGTGGCTTACAACCATCTGTAATGAGATCTGGTGCCCTCTTCTGGCCTGCAGGCCATATACATGATGAATAAATAAATCTTTAAAAAAAAATTTAAAAAAAAAAAGAAAGCTGTGGAAGAGACAAAATGGTTGCATTTCACCAGTGATAGTTGATAGGACCAATAATAACTTGCCCAACATTTAACTAACCATTTTTCGATGGACTGCAATGATGTAGCCTGTAAATGGGTCATCAGGAAGAGGTGGCATATGACCATTCACCACTCCATTTGTGACGTTCTTCTCAGTTCCACATGGTACAACTGTACTTGGCATTCCATTGGGGATGAATATAGGTCGAGGCAGGTCCCCATTGGTAGTCAGAGTGAACAGTCCATTTGTAGATGGAGAAGAGGAGCAATCTATAAATTTAGAGATGTGCACAGTATCATAACCTTGTATCACCATCATTTTCTTTTCTTAAGTATTAAGTGTTTTGAACATTGACAGTGTAGACTCCCCTAATTCAGCACAGGGAAAACTCACAGACCAACAAACAATTCTATTTATTGGTAAATTTAAAGTCTAGAATTTATTTATTTTATTTTTATTTTTATTTATTTTTTTTCAAGACAGGGTTTCTGTGTTGTTTTGGTGCCTGTCCTGGATCTCACTCTGTAGACTAGGCTGATCTCGAACTCACAGAGATCCGCCTGCCTCTGCTTCCCGAGTGCTGGGATTAAAGGCATGCATCACCACTGCCCTAGAATTTATTTTTATAACTCACACTTATGACTAAAGGACAAAGAAAGAGAAGTATGGTAACTGTTAAGTAGTGCTTCTGCAGCAATCCCAAGAGTATCATGTGGAACACAAATATCTCTACCATTCATTTTCTCTTTCCTCTAAAATTTCCTATTCTCAAAATATTCTATTCAATCTGGCCCTAAGCCAACTGTTAATTTTTAAATGAAAACAAAGATAAAAATGCATTCCCTTAGTGACTAAGGCTTAGTCTAAATAATTATATTTCAAGTGCTCAATAGCCCATGCAAGTGATGGACACTGTATTGGAGAACAGAGATGCTAGTTTCCATCATTGCAAAGTCCTATCAAACAGAGACATTCTAAATAGAGAACATGAAATTATCTACTAACTCACCATCACCATAACTGTTACATGCCAGTGAGAGGAGCTTCACTTCTTAGGAAGTCCTTTATAGTAGGAGAATTAACCTAATAGTAAGCTGTCAAGGAAGAATCCCTGGGCATAATGGTTTACACTTGTAATCTCTGCACTTGGAAGCCAGAAGCAGGAGGATCATGAGTTTGATGGTATCTTGGACTAAACAGTGAGATCTGGGCAAATCTGAGATACACAGTGTTAACAATTGTGTCAAAAAACTAAGGGCTATATTGTATATCATTTTTCCTCTCAACTGAAACATTTTCCCAAGAGGAAAGGGGAAGGCTCAGGAGATCAGGCAACAAATAAAATGTCACCTGACAAAGTGGGAACTTGTGAAACTCCGGGAGGCCCCTTTACAGCCTTATAAAAGCAGTAATTTAGTGTGGGGAAGGAGACTCTGAACAGCTAAGATGCTGGTGTAGAGATTTCTCGGACTGTGGGAGCTGCCTCAAGCTGTGCAGAGAGCCCCAGGGATACAGGGTTCGTGAATCTTCACTAGGGTTATGGAGGGCTTCTTGGTGATGAGCTGCTTTTTTGAGTCATCTCTGCTCCTGTAAGTAAGCCCTCCCCCACATTCCTGTGAGTAACCCCAATACAAACTCACTGGTTCACCAAATTGGACTTTGGTGCAGTCATTTCTTCTGATCTCATGCTTTTACTTTTTGGGGTTAGTAGACATGTGTATGTGGGATCTTCTCAGGAAAATACTCTTACACAAAATGCTACCAAGAGGTATAGTATAACACTGACCTAGCATGTCTAAGACCTTAGGTTAGACACTTAGCACCACAACAAAAGGACAAAGTATATGAAGCCCAAAGGACTGAATGACCAACCATATTAAAGCATGTGTAATAACCAGACAGACAAATTCCTATTTACTAAATTTATTGTTTATATTTTCTGGTAGTATGTTCCTTTCATACTATCTGTACCATCTTACCATTACAAAAAGAGTTAAAAGAGATGTGAATATTAATGGTATGTATATGAGCTAAGAGCTACCTACTTAGCTTGCTTATTTACCGTTTCTGAACTTTAGATTCCTCATCAATCAAAAGAAAAATCTGAGTCAAATGATTATTAGAATTCCTACAAAAAGCTCCAGGCAAAGGTTTCTGCTGTGATTTTAATCCCAGCACTCAGATCTCTATGATTCAAGGCCAGCCTGGTCTACAGAGAGAGTTCCAGGACAGCAAGGGATACACAGAGAAACCCTGTTTCAGAAAACAAACAAACAGTATATATTAATTCTTAGACCAAATTTTATTACACTTATGTATGTATCCATGTATGTGTGCACAAGCACATGCCACAGCATGCATGTGGAAGTCAGAGAACAATTTAAAGGAGTCAGTTCTCTCCATCCACCATGCGAGTCCTGAGGATTGAACTCAAGTCATCAGGCTTGGATCAGGCTTAGCTGCAAGTCCCTTTATCAAGCTGAGCTATTTTGCTGGCCCTAGACCAAAGTTTAATACTGAGATCCTGAAAATTAAGTCTAGTTCTACCTTACCTGTTTGTATTGGACTACATGCTGAGACTGGAGATGCAAGAATGGGAATTTCAAATGCACACAAATATCCACTCACTGAGAGTCGAACTTTTTGGTTGTCCTGAGGGAAGTTCTACAAAAAAGAAAAAAAAAAAGAAAAAAAAAAAAAAAGAAAGAAAGGAAGGTTTTAGATAAACTAGAAAAATTATCCCTGTGATGTACAGCTTTTTTTTTTTTTTGAGACAAGGTTTCACTATGTAGCTCTAGCTGTTCTGGAACTCAGGAACTCACCATGTAGAGCAAGTTAGCCTTGAGCTCACAGAGATCTGCCTGCTTCTACTTCTGCTGGGATTAAAGATATGCACCACCAGCTGGGCGGTGGTGGCGCATGCCTTTAATCCCAGCACTTGAGAGGCAGAGGCAGGTGGATCTCTGTGAGTTCGAGGCCAGCCTGGTCTCCAAAGCGAGTTCCAGGAAAGGCGCAAAGCTACACAGAGAAACCCTGTCTCGAAAAAATCAAAAAAAAAAAAAAAATATGCACCACCACATCAGTAAAACAATCGTCCTTGGCCAACTAAAGATGAATGTTGGATAAAGTAACTCATAACTCACCCCCCCCCCCAAGAAAACTCTTATTCCTATACATGGGAAGGATGTATACTGTGGGTGATTAAAAGTTTTACCTTTTGTCTCAACTAACTAAACTGCAAACCCCAACAGATCTCTTTACTCTCTCTCTCTCACTATATATATATATATATATATATTAAAAAAAAAAAAAAGCTGGGTGGTGGTGGTACACGCCTTTAATCCCAGCACTCGGGAGGCAGAGCTAGGTAGATCTCTGTGAGTTCAAGTCCAGCCTGGTCTACAGAGCAAGTTCCAGGACAGCACCAAAGCTACACAGAGAAACCCTGTCCCGAAAAAAACCAAAAATTAATGCAGCCTGGGTATGGTGGCACACACCTTTAATCCTAGAAGAGACTGGCAAATCTCTGTGAGTTCAAGGCTGGCCTGATCTACATAGTAAGATGCAGGCCAGCCAAGGCTACATACAGTGAGACTCTGTTTCAAGAAAACAACAATAATAAAAATGTCAATCCGGTAGGGCTCTGTTCAAAGGGCACGAATCTGTAATCATAGTGATTAGAAGGTAGGAGAAAGGTGAATTTTCTTTCTTTTTTTTTTCTGTTTGTTTTTTGAGACATGGTTTCTCTGTGTAGCCCCAGTTGTCATGGAACTTGTTCTGTAGACCAGATTCACCTGCCTCTGCCTCCACAGCTGTATTTTCCTATTTTCTAATTCTTTAGCATTTTGAAAAGTAAAACCTACAGTACAAAGGGGACTGGAGAGATGGCTCAGCAATGAAAAACAACTGCTCTTGTGGATGATCCAGAACTGGACCCTAGCACTAACATGGTAGCTCACAACCATCAGAAACTACAGTTCCAGGAGATTCACTGCTCTTCTGACCTCCACAGGCACCAGGTACATATGTAGCGCATATTCAGACACCATGATCTGTAGATGCAAATCGATTATAAAATGGAATAGTATTTGCATATAGCTTATGCGTATCTTCCACTGTATTCAAATAACCATTACATAATTCATAACAGGAAAAATGTGATATACACAGTTGTAAAGATTATTGTTTAAGGAATAATGACAAGGAAAAAAATCTAAACATGGTTCAGTGCAGTATTTTATTATTTGAATATCTTTGATCTGTGACTGGGTAAGAGACTAAAACAAAAGCTTCTAGTGTAAAGGACTGATCTATGTTTATAAATACATATTCATAAATATAGAAGAGCTGGAGAGACGGTGTAGCTGTTAAGAATACTGGCTGCTCTTCCAGAAGATCCAGGTCTGGCCTTTGCAGGCACCAGACATGTACATGGTACAAAAACATATATGTAGGCAAAATACCCCTATATCAAAAAGAAAAGAAGTCTGGAGAGATGGCTCAGTGGTTAAGAGCACATACTTCTCCAGAGGACCTGAGTTTAATTCCCAGTAACCATATCAGGTAACTCTAGTTCCAGGGGGATCTGGCCTCTGAAGGCACCTCTACTCAAGTGCACATACCCACACATAGATACACACACACACACACACACACACACAAAATTAAAAATAAAGTTAAATTAAAAAAAGGAATAAAAAATTTAAAAAATATAGAAAGTAACTGAAGAAAAATTCTAGGGACAGTTGGTAGGTAAACTTAACCATATATTAAAATAGCTACCCTTTATATGAGCAGCCTTAGGTAATTCCCTTATCTCAAAATGCCACTATCATTTATTATTCCTCTGTTCTGGTAGACAGCCCTTTCAAATTTCTTGATTTGAAAATGGTATACAGGGGCTGGAGATATGGCTCAGCTGTTAAGAAGGTGTTCTTCCAGGGGACCCTGGTTCAATTACCAACACTCACATGGCAGCTCATAACTGTAACCCCAGTTCCAGGGGATCTGACACCCTCACACAGATATACACACAGGCAGAACACCAATGCACATAAAATAAAAATAAATAAATTTAAAAAAAAAAAAAGAAAAGAAAATGGTATACAATCTGGGGGTGGTGGCAAATGCCTTTAATCTCAGCAGAGTCCAGTGGATTTCTTAAGAGTTTGAGACCAGCCTGTTCTACATAGTGAGCTCCAGGACAGCTGGAGTTTCGAAGTGAGACCATGTCTCAAAAAAGAAAAAAGGAGAGAGGGAGGGAGAGAGGAAAGGAGGAAGGGAGAGGGAGAATGATATATACATATTTTTTGTTCTGGTTTTTGTGTGTGTGTGTGTGCAAACACACACACTACAGCCCATGTGTGGAAGTCAGAGGACAACTTTCAGGAGGCAGCTACCATGTCTACCATGTGGGTCCTAGGGAATTAACTCAGGTCATCAGACTTGGGGATAAGCACCTTTACCCACTCAGCCATCTCACTGGCCCTTGTTTTTGTTGTTTTGTATCTCCCTTGATTATTTTAAGTGTGGTGGTTTGAATAAGAATGGTCCCCATAGGCTTATATATTTTAATGTTTAGTCATTAAGGAGAGGAATTATTGGAGAAGGATAAGGAGGTGTGGCCTTGTTGGAGGTAGTGTGTCACTGGGGGGTGGATTTTTGGTTTCAAAAACCCAAGCCAGGCCCATTGTCACTCTCTCTTCTCAATGCCTGCTGATCAGGATGTAGAACTCTCAGCTACTTCTCCAGCAACATATCTGCTTGTGTGCCACTGCTGCAGGCAGGCAGCAGGAAAATGTAATGGAATTCAGCTACTATCACAAAAACTACTACTTGGAAAGGTCAAGGACGTCTCCGAAGGTCAAACCATGGCTAAGAAGTCTTGGTGATATTTTAGCTTTTGTACATAATTAGCCAATTCCTGCAATGATTTCCTTGTATGCTATGTATGCTTCCAAGAACTCCTAACAGTGTATTTCATCTGAAATAACTATCAAGCATCCAAGGCCAAACAATCTCCTGAATTAAGGTAAATTAAGCTCAGACCCTCCTTTCTTATACAGCCTTAGTGGTATTTATACTAACATTATAGACTCCTAACATTTACCTAACCACCGCTAGGAATGTAGTTTGAGCACATAAATTCCCTTCTTCTGATATCTTAACCAATTTTAGCTCTTAGTTGATCTCCTCCTTTACCACTCCCCTTTTGGGTTGTAAAAGAAAGCCTGTCAGTCACTGCCTGAGGAAAACTCTTGTCTGCCTTTATGACCCTGTAAGAATTCAAGTCTGGTGATCTTGCTTTGGCTAGAGCACTGCTATTGCATGGGTATATAACTGTAAACCTCAGGAACTTAGAGAGGATTTTGGGGATTTTGACTGGAGAACTAGAAGAATGAGATGGAAGATGAGGAAGAGCCAGATGGGGAGGAATGAGATGAGAATGACCAAGATGGGGCAGAACTAAGATAAGAGAATTAAGAAAGAACTTAGAGGGGACAGCAGATAAATGTAGAGAGAAATCAGGCAAGAAAGGAGCCAGGCACGAGAACAGAACTGAAGCTGTGTAGATAGGATTTTATCCCAGAGGAATAAAGTAAAAGGACTAAGAGCTTGGTGTACTTAGATTTATTTCCCAAAAATAATTCTCGCCATTCGAAGCTTCTCTTCTGGGCCCCTGGGAAGAAGATTATTAAGGCTGGTCTTTAATAATATTCGAGATGCCACCATGCTCCTTGAGATGATGATAGTGGACTAAACCTCGGAAACTGTAAACAAGCTTCAATTAAATGCCTTCTTTTATAAGAGTTGCCTTGGTCATGGTGTCTCTTCACAGCAAAACACCAACTGGTACAAGGAGTGGGGGATTGCTGTGATGGGCCTGACCATTCTGCTTGTTTGCAGAATGTGAACTTTGGAAATTTGGATTAGCAAAGCAGTTGAAATGCTTTAAGCAGGGCTTAATGGGCCATTCTAGTAGGAGCTTGGAAGACAGTGGTGCTGAGTGATGATGTGGACTGTGGGAGCCCAGCAATAGAATACTAAGACATTAATATAATATCTGAAGTCACTGAGAAACCTATCTTTGAAGAATAGAATCAGATTTCTGAGAAAGAACAATTAATATTACCTTTATGTTGGAACTATGTACTTCTGCAAGAAGGATTTGTTCTGATTTAAGTCCACAGAGATCACTTAGCTGCTTTTTCAAACCTGTGTACTTTTCATCCATATTCAGTCTTAGTCCATATCGTATTGGGGTAGTACCATCTAATTTAATTACTAGTAAAGAAAAAAGACTTTTTATTAGTAAAATTCAGGTTACGATGAAAGTGTTACATAATACCACAACAGATATATCTGACTTGTAAATAGCAAATATTTTAGCCTAGAATTTTTTATATGTAAATGATAAAATAAAACTTAGGAATAATACTGAGTGAAAAAAAGAATTTTTTTATATTTATCTGATAAAGAAGTCTGATTGGCTTTACAAGCTTTTCAAAGAGTTTCTGCTATGACCGGAATTAAGGAAAGCATCAATGAGCACAAAAAATGGGCCCATGCTCCAAATCTTTGGAACCTGAAATTGTGCCTTAATGTGGAGTGCTTAATTATAACATGCTGCCTACTCATATTTATGAGAACTCATTGCAAACAAACTATAAATTCAGACTGGAAAGTAATGAAAATGAATCGTTTTCTTCAGAACTCTGTGACCTACCTGTTATTTCTAAATGCATATAACTGTCCATTGGAAGTGGCAAAGACAAAAAATTGAAAGGGTCGAATCGGACACTTATATGCCCACATGTCTTGCATTTCACTTGGGATCTTAGCTGACCATGGAACAAGTCCACAACAATTGATCTATTTCTCCTTAGATGGTTGTCCCAGGCCTATGAAGGAAAAACAAAATTTTATTTTCAAAATTCAAACACAATCTAAAAATACTGGTTAAGTACATTGGATTTAAACTCTAACCACAGAAAACTCTTGTTCAAATTTAAATTGTGCCACATGTATTTGTGGTCTGAACATTGTATTTATTGCTTTTATAAGAAACTCAAAACCAAGGAAGGCATGGTTTGTGTACATCTTTAATCCTAGCACTCTGGAGGCAGAGCAAGCAGATCTCCTCTGTGAGTCTGAGGCCAGCCTGGTCAACACAGCAAGTTCCAGGGCTATATAAAGAGACCCAACTACACACCATATACTACCAAATAAAACCTGTAGATCCAGGAATGGGTTATATCTTTTTGAATTGTTGGCCAAAGAGGTCTCATAGACTCCGCCAAACATCACAGTTACTGCCACTACGATTTGTTACCCTCTACAACCTGAAGTTATCACAGAGTTATGTCACTGAACATGGAGAAATTGAGTTAGTACTTAACTCTAAGCTTCACCTTTACTAACTTGTGTTTATAATACCAGAAGGCACTATACACACTACCAGAAGAGAAAAGTAATCATCAATCTTACTCAGCTATGAACCTTGTGAACTATAATAGTGACTTGCCTGCCAGATATACCCATTCATGCAATAGTGGCACAAATGTTTTGAGGGTGACCAACCCACCTTTTGATTGTACATAAGGCCTGCCCCATGAGATGGAACCCATATTTGACACTGTTAATGAGGTCAAGGATCTGAGACTAGGTAGGTGATAGGTACTATGGGAAAACCTACAGTTTTCTACTAAATGAACATAGCAATAAAATGAGTCCTAACAACATATTGCTATACCCATAGATCAGTGCCTTGATAAACCCTCATCAGAGAAGCCTCTTCTTGAAGTAGATGGGAATTAAGACAGAGGATCCACAATGGAACAACATGCATAGATTGAGAGACTCTGGAGCACTCATCCCTAAATAGAATATCTTTATCACACCCCTCCTCTTCAGGCTCAGGGATCTATGAGGAAGATGGGGCAGAAAGATGATAAGATATAGAGGTGGAAGATGCATTCAAGGAAACAGTGTTTTCCAGATACAACATGGCTGAATGCACATTCAAACTCACAGAAACTGTGATAGCACACACAAGATCTGCCTAAGTTCAAACCAGACAAGGGGAAGAGGGCATAAAATCCAAGGCCCAATGTGCAGTTGATAGCTGATAGGAGTGTCAAAACTAGTTTTCTTGAACGGAGTGACACTGGGTATGTTAACCATATCCCATGGCAGGCACATGCTCAGGAATAGTTGGCCAACAAAACACAGACAGACTCAGTGTTAACCTAGGTGTATGCCTGTAATCCTAGCACTGGGGAGGTGGAGACAGGAGGATCCCTAGAGCCTGCTGGCTAGCTAGTCTGCCAAATCAGTGAACTACAGGTTCAGTGAGAGACACATCTCAAAAACAAGGTGGGACATAGATTAAGAAGACATCTAACTTGAACCTCTAATCTCTACATTGCCTGGGCACACATACACTGCTCAGTTTATCCACCAAAAGGCATTAAAAAAAGGTGCTGAGCTAAGTCAGTAGAACACAAGACCCTTTAAAAACAACAAAAGACACTCTAACAAACCTCTGCAGCCACTTCCCAGTCGGGTCGTCCATCACTGTCTTTTAGTTCCACATATGGCTTCTCATGGACTCGGTTGAGATCTTCATGAAGACCATCCAAGAGGAAAGCCAGAAGTTCTTGGGAGTCTTGTTGCTGGAACCCATTAAACCTGGGAGCATATTTTGCTATTGTCCACTATAAAAATGAGGAGTAGCTGTCATTATTTCCTATCCTATAAAATTTGGAACAAGCATGTTCCATAATTCAATGATAGATAAACATCAGAAAGAAAGTAAATGGCACAAAATTTAGTCTTTCTCTATTTCAGCAAACAAATTCTGGATAAGAATTTACTCTAACTTTAATGTTAAGTGACCAAAAAAATGACAGGCATTTTGGCCAATGATGTTTCCCAGTCTGCTACCATCTGTGGTGGTCTGACTGAAAACGGCCCCCAAAGGCCTATAGGGAGTGGCACTATTAGGGGTGTGGCCTTGTTGGGGTGGGTGTGGCCTTGCTGGAGATGTGTCACTGGCAGTGGGATGTGAGGTTTCAGCTCAAGCCAGCTGCAGTGTCCCTCTCTTGCTTCTACCTGCTGATCCAGCTGTAGAACTCTCAGCCACCTCTCCAGTACTATGTTGGTCTGTGTGCCACCACGCTTTCTACCATGATAATAATTGGACAAGACCTCTGAACTGTACGCCAGCCCCAATTAAATGTTTTCCTTTATAAGAGTTGCTGTGGTCATGATGTCTCATCACAGCAATAGAAACCCCTAAGACACCACTGAAGCAAACAGTTCTTTATTCACACAGATAATTTATATTGATGAATTTGTATTTATAGAATGGCAACGGATCATCCTGAAAAATTTCCTAGTCTATACAAATATTTTCTTTTAGTTATCTGATCTTGTTATATTTTAGGTTTTATTGTTACAGGCCAAAAAAAAAAAAAGCATAGTGTTTAACTATCAGGATTTACAAATGAATTATCTTAGCAATGCAGAAAAAAAAATCTATCAGGTATAATTAGGTGGCCTATGCTAGCAGTCAAGGAGTACCAAAAGGGCTTACTCTTCATACAAGTAAAGCAGTTGGTAAATCTGTAAAATGAACAATGTCTCAAAGAGGTACTGTTTCTTTGATCTTTTCTTCCTGTTCATTACATACACAGCAGTATTTTGCATTTATTTGAACACATAAAATTTGGGTATCTAGGATACTTAGTGAAATTTTAAAAATTGATTAAAAAAGTTTAAATAGAGAAAATGTGCAAACAGTGATAAGAGAATTATTAGAGAATTACATATTTTCATATTATTTTAGTCTGCTTACCCGAAGCTTTAATGGGGCAACATTCTTCTGAGTTCCACTCCAAAGTTCCTGCACCAAATCGCCATAGCATTTAGCCATATGACCTTTCATACCAATGGGATTTGTCCTAGAAGTTTGAGAGGGAAATTTGTTGCCAAAGATTCTCCATAATTTACAATCACATGGGCATAAAACTACCTATCAAGAGACATATCCCTTGGCCCTTAAGTCATATTCAATAAGGCAATGAAATAACATTTTCTCCTTCAAGTTAAAGGAAGAGGAGATTTAAGCAATATTGGATTCAGATCAAAACTACAAAGGATAAACTTTGACCCAAAGCCCGTGGGTCAAAAAGATTACCTGTTGAGTTCATAAAGATGTCTCCCTGAGATAAAATACTGTGTCAGTGGTTGTGTGTTACTAACACACTGGATGCTTGAGTTCATGAAGCATGTGTTTCCCAGGTTACTCAGACCTGTGGCTCCCTTTTCTGTGGGAACTGCAACAAATAATGAGACAAAAGCCTAGCTATAGCAACATGCTGTGGAATGGTTACTTGTATTCAATTGAGTTTTTTTTTTTTCTTTCTCTTTTGACAGAAACTTATTTAGTATCAGAGGTTGGTCTCAGACTAGGAATCCTCCCGCACTAACCTTCCATGTACTGGCATTATAGGCATGTGTCACCACACTGGCTTCTGAATATGGTGATTTTAAAATTCTGTTAGTTGGATGAAAGGTCAAAGTTTTTTCTTTAACCTTACTTTCCTTTTTTTTTTTTTGGTTTTTCGAGACAGGGTTTCTCTATGTAGCCTTGGCTGCTTTGGAACTTGCTCTGTAGACTAGGCTGGCCTCTGGGATTAAAGGCGTGCGCCACCACCACTTGGCTTAAAACATTTTTTTTTTTAAAGATTTATTTATTATGTATACAGTGTTCTGCCTGCATGCCAGAAGAGGGCGCCAGATCTCATTACAGATAGTTGGGAGCCACCATGCGGTTGCTGGGAATTGAACTCAGTACCTCTGGAAGAATAGTCAGTGCTGTTAACTGCTGAGCCATCTCTCCAGCTCTTAAAACAATTTTTAATCATGTCTTTTACATCAGTTTTTTATGGAGTTTCTTTGGCAAGCAAGATGATCCTTGTTCATTTGTAACCTAGAAATGGCCAAGTGTTGTTTTTAATTGTGTGGATACTGGTATCTGGTGGTAGGCACGGTAGCACATGCTCATAATCCCAACACCTGGGAGGTGGAAGCAGGAAGATTAGGAATTCAATATGAGACCCTGTTTAAGACAACAAGAAAAACACCCGAGAATTAAGTTCTCCAAGGATGACTTTATGCTGGGCACAGTTGTACATACCTATGATCCTAGCACTAGGGAGGCTGCCCTAGAAAAATCATGTAGCCTGGGTTACAGAGTAAGACTTTAGATTTAAAAAGAAAAAGAAATTGAAAACAATTTATTTTTTTGAGGGATGGTTCAGATGGCTTAGTAGTGAAGAGCACATATGTGGAGGTTCATAACTGTCCCAGCCCCAGGGATCTGTTAATGCTGAACCCTAAGGGACACCTGTGGTGCACAGACATACTTGTAAAAAACACCTATACACATAAAGTAAAAAAATAAACTTCAGAAATTAAAAAAATATTTTTTGAAAATTTTATATTATGTATATAATGTATTTTGGTCATATCCACCCCAACACTTCCCACAAGACTCTGTTTTTAAAACAAAAAAAATTATGTATGTGAATAATTATTTGTATGTGTATTTATGTGGGCATTTGAAGACCAGAAGTTGATGTGGGTTTCTTCCTCCATTTTACTTTCTGTGATAGGGTCTCCTACTAAACCTGGAACTCACTAATTGGGTGGGCTGCCTGGCCAGGAACCCTTCTATTTTTCTCTCCCCTGTGCTGAGATTATAGGTGTGTACCGCAGTGCCTGAATTTCTACATGGGTGCTGGGAATCTAAACTTGGATCCTCACAGTTGTATGCTATGTATTTCACAATCTGAGTTAACATCCTGACCCTTACTTTTTGTTTGGAGACAGAGCTTTACTTTGAGCCCAGACTGCTCTGGATCTCTGCTTTATGATTTATCTCAAGAGTTGTGGTTACAAAAGTATATTACCACAACCAGTATACAAACTAATTTAGAGTCAAATTTGGTGGCCTCTCCAGAGGTGACAGGAGGATCAAGTTCAAGTGTTCAAGCCCAGCCTAGACGACACAGTGAGAGTGTCTCCAACGACAACAAAGTAAGTCTGTAAAAATAATATACGGACTTACCTTTATGTCTATCTATTTTGCTACTATTTGCTATAAAGGACATTTCTTCAGGCCAGCTCATATCTTTGTTTCGAACTGGAAAGACAGATTGGAATGTATTAACTTCTTATTCATACTATTCATAGTCATTTGATTACAACGTTAAAAAAAATAGTTATTTCTATTATCAGAGCTTAAAAAAAAAAATCAAGTAAATTTTAGACCAGGCTGGCCACAGACTTGCCATGTGTAGCCAAAGATAACTGGACTTCACTTCCTGAGTTCTGGGATTACAACTAAGGTTGATTTTATGTAGAGCAGGAGTCAGATTCATACATTCCAGGCTGGGCAGTGGTGGCACACCTTTAATTCTAGCACTTGGGGTTTGGGGGGCGGAGCTGAGGCAGAACTTTGTGAGTTCAAGGCCAGCCTGGTCTACAAAGAGAGTTCCAGGACAGCCAGGGCTGTTACAGAGAGAAACCTTGTCTCCAAAAAACAAAAAACAAACAAACAACAACAACAACAACAAAAAAAAAAAACCCAAACAAAAAAAAATAAACAAAAAAAAATCAGAAATATGAAAATCTTTTTGTTACATTAACAATCGCTGAGGTAATTCACTAATTTCATCACATGCAACTAGCAATGTTTTCATGAGTCATTATGGGGAAAGACACCATAATTTCAACATGAATGTGCCATGTGTAAATTATGGGTGAGTGCCAAAGTAGCTGATGAATAGTGGAATCTAAGAGAGGAGCTGGGAACAAAACTTAAGTGGGTGGGATGCCTAAAATGCATGAGATTCTAAGTTCAATCCCCAGTATTGGGGGGAAATGTTGGTATCCTCACTCAAACTTAAAGTGGGAGTAAAAACATTTTATAAAATTTCATAACTTGCAACTGAATTTACCTGTTGCCACCCACTTTTTCCTTCCTTGGTCAGCCTAAGGCTACATATAGACAGGCCACTCTTTAGAAACAATCCGGTAGGTAAGAAACACACTAGGGACTCAGTGGGTCTGCTTTAACATATAAGGAATATAATGCTATCTTGAGAAAAAACGTAAAATGGGATTCCTAGTGAGTAATTCTGTAAAGTCTTACCCTAAACTAAAACTCAATCTATGACATCATTTGAGAGGCAGAGGCAGGAGGATCAGAAGTCAAAGGTCTTTATCTATTCAGTGAAGTTCAAGGCCAGTTTGGGCTACAAGAGACTGCCTCAAAAATATAAAACAACAACAACCCTCCCCCACAAGTCTCTTTCCCCAAACCCCTCAAAAACCCATTAACAAAATGAAACACTCCTCCACGTACATCACCACTACTACAACTGCCCCTGCCCCATCTAATATAGATGTGTATTTCTATTTTGTACCTTCAATTACCAGGTGCTGCTCATCTTGGATTTTCAAATATTCCAACCTATGATCCTCATCATCCAGAAGAGTCAAGTAGTTCTGTAGAGGAGGAAATGTTTCTGTTAATGTGGCTAGTAAACTTAAAAAAAATACAAAAATAAAAAATGACAAGTACTATTCCTTTGCACTTACATAATTCATTTTACAGATATTTAGCTGTTCAAATCTATAGTTTAGGTGCCAAAGTGAAGGAATGATGGTGTGTTCTATCACTTTACATGTTAGTAAAACAAAATTATATGCAATTTGTGGAGAGAGTAGATAAGTTACCACAGACCAAACCAAAGTTCACTGAGACAACAGAACTTGCAGAAAAGAAATTTTCATTCCCTTTTCAGTGAAAACTGGGGTACAGATCGTTCAGTGACTTGTCTCAGTTACACAACTAACAAGTGGCACAGTCAGGATTTAACTCCTAGCAATGTAACTATAACTTGCAACTGAATTACCTGTGCTACCCATATTTTGCTCCCTTGGGCACACAAACTGTGCTCTTAATTCCTATGTGATTATGCCTTCAATGGTGACTAAAGCAGGATGTAAGAAAAAATGTAGTAGAGAACAGAGAACGGGGAAAACTATCCTTACAACCCAGCTTCAGAGTACAATACTGAATACACTGGGAGGATCATACAAGCATTTAATAGCATTGCCTCTGAGGGGCGTGGAAGATAAAGGTCAGAGATGGAAATGAAGAATTTTTACTATGTACGTTGCATTGTCTGTATTTTTAATGTGTATAAGCAACTTCAAAATAAATCTAACAAGAAATAGCTCAGTGAGATAGCTCAGTTTTTCCTTGCAAAGGTCCAGGGCTCCATTCTCCACACCTTTGTTAACAACCCTTTGTAACTCCAGTTCCAGGGAATCTGACCACTCTTCTGGTTTTCATGGGCACCAGGCATACATGTGGTACAGACATTACATGCAGGTAAAACATAACAAAATGAAAGAAAAAAATAAGACTACTTGCTGTTACTTTATAACACAATTGCCACAGCAATCTTTAAAAAATAGTACTGCTTTGCTCATGCTGATCAATTGTCATTATGATCTCAGGTGACAAATGTTCACATGTATGTACACACCACTTTTTTTTTTTTTTTTTTTTTTTTTTTTGGTTTTTGGAGACAGGGTTTCTCTGTGTAGCTTTGGTCCCTGTCCTAGAACTCACTCTGTAGCTGAGGCTGGCCTCGAACTCACAGAGATCTGCCTGCCTCTGCCTCCCGAGAGCTGGGATTAAAGGTGTGCGCCACCGCTGCCTGGCATGTACACACAACTTAAAAGTCTAAAGTTTTCATAGAGACCCCAGATATGGCTTTTAGCATAACTACTACAGACAAGTTCTTCTATTTATGAAAGATGATTTAACCCTTTTTTAAACCCAGAGCCTAGTATACACTGAACAAGTGCTCTACCACTGGACTATCTCCCCTGCATGATTTAACAGCAGACTTTTCATGACTGAGATGCTTCTTACCTCACTGTTGTATAGCCATAGTCGCATATCTTCCTCTTTGATGCGAAGCCTTTGAGACAGATATTCATGAATTTCCTTGATGGTTTGCATTCTACTAAAACAGCCAGTATAGGCTAACACCCGCTTTAGAGGCGCATTTGGAGAGGGTACATTTCCTATAGTTATAGTAGTTATGATAAGGAAAAAAGGAGACATAAAAAAACAGACAAACAAACATAAAACACCAGCCTCAGCAATGATGACCATAGTAATTTAGGAAACGAGAAATAAGAAGTATAGACTTAATAATTTTATAAATGAAGAATACTATGAAAAGCTTGAATATGGATGGGCATGGTAATTCCAGCACAAAAGGATTAAGAGTTCATCAGAGTCATCCTCAGCTACATAAAGATCAGTCTGAGCTACATGAGACCCTGTCTCAAAGAAACCAAAGTGGGGGCTACTTGAGAAAACTCAAGACCCAACTATTACAAAGCCTCAGCCTCAATTCTGAAAGAACAAAAATAAGAGCGTAGCAATCCAAATAAATGACATATTTTGATCCCAAGAATGAGAACATGATGATAAAAAACTGACATCAGCATATGACTGTTCTCAGTTTGGTCATACTTAATAGCAGGACGAAATAAAATTCTGCTTAAGAATGGGGAGGGAGCTGGGGATTTAGCTCAGGAGTAAAATGCTTGTTTAGTATGTGCAAAAGACCTGAGTTTAATGCCAGAACTGGAAAATAAAATAATAATAAAATAAAAGGAAGAGTGAGGGTGCATGAAGTAGAATGGAATTTGAATTCCACAGATTCACTTAATCTAGTTCTTAAAACTCAGAATTACTAATCCTATCACTCTCTGTCATTAAGTGGCCCAATTATGTGGTAGCAGTCATACAGAGAGACACTGGTACAGGTTATACAAGGCCAGACAATATTTTTAAATGGAGCCAAGAAGCTTTCCTGACTAACAATTATTCTGTTGAAAACTAGGTGGCGAACATCTAGTTTACCTCTCCACTATGGTGGCAACATAACGACCTTGACTTCCTAGTGCTTAAGGTAGAAACAAAAAGACTACTAATACAGTGTCTTTCAGGCTCTTAGAGGGCTGATCCGAGGACTTTACTATACATACAGATACATAGATACTAAATATACTAAGTCTGAATACACGGAAAACACGGAGGAATAAAATGACAAGGCATTATAGAAATCAAAGACAGGCAGTAAATGTGCTAAATACTGGTCAACTTCTTAGTCAAAAAATCTAGACAAAAGCTGTAGTTTTACAATGGTTATCTCTGACTATGAGAGGCTAGATTTTTTTGTTAAGCAACTCCAAGCAAAAGGAGAAATTAAACATGTCAATAGTCAATATAACCCTGCTAGAGTACATGTATGCATTTCAGGTTATTTTTTACCCATTCAGTAATTGTTTTTTTTCTCTCCCATGAACTGTATTTTTTGTGAGTCTTATTAACTATCATTTTCTTTTTAAGAGCTTCCAAGAAAAACCCACTCAGCTAAGATAGGCTCAAAAGCCATCTAAGGAATAATGACTTAAGTCTACCTAAGTTATCACAATCATGGAATGGTTTGCATAGATCTTTCTTTGAAAGGAGTATCCCCCCCCCACCCAGACAGGGTTTCTCTGTGTGGTTTTGGTGTCTGTCCTGGATCTCTCTCTGTACACCAGACTGGCCTTGAACTCACAGAGATCTGCCTAGCTCTGCCTCCCAAGTGCTGGGATTAAAGGTGTGTGCCACCACCCAGTGAAAGGAGTAAAAGCCTAGTGAACAGTGGTAATAACTGAGTATTTGACCAAGAAGCACACCATGTATGGCAGAACAAAATTCAACCATGATTTTTTATACATGTAGCAAAGCAAATCTTTGTCTATTAGCAAGCAAAGAATAACCCTTAAAATAAGAGAACAGATTTTTTTCAATTATACATCAGAGGATTAGTTTTAAGATTACAGCAAGAAAGCAGTTTTATAAATTTCAAAATAATTAATGATTGATTTTATAATTAGTCAAGAATAAAATTTCAAATTAAGAAACAAATTTGGAGTATCAAACTATCCCATTCTAGGATTCAGAAGCACCGGCAAGCATAATGCCCCAGCCAATCTCCACTGTCCTAGGCCACAAAAAGGAAAACTGAGTTCCAGAGTTTACACAGTTTAGCTCATTAAGCAGGCAGCCACTTATATGCATAATTTTGTGCTTTTGAAGAGAACCAGCAAATAAGAAATTCACAGAAGCAGCAAAAATCTAGGATCAGCACAAGAATTACAAATACTTACTAAAAATGCAACAACGTATCTTGCCTCTCATGTTATCTTTCAAAGAGAATCAAGAAAGACATACTATGGGTGCCATGGACAGTATGCTGATGTTTCTATTTACCAGAAAGTTAAATCAAGAATGTTTCATAAGGATTCTATTTTATTGTTCCTTGATTTTGATGGTTTCCCCAAAGTTTGGTTAGAGAGTGAACACTGTTCTAATTGTTTTGTTCTAATTCATATAAAACAGTATGTGAAATCATCTTCATACACTATCTGAATGAAGCCTTTAAAAAAAGGTTTATTTACTTTAAAAAATATGTATTTTTATTTTATGTTCATTGGTGTTCTTGACTTCATGTATGCCTGCATGATGGCACACAGGAACTATAGTCACATAGTCACATACAGTTGTGAGCTGCCATGTGGGTGCTGGGAATTGTCCTCTGGAAGAGGATCAAGTGCTCTGAACCACTGAGCCACCTCTCCAGTACAGACTTTTTATTTTATGTGTATAAGTATCTATGCACATGTGTTCCTAGTGCCTGTGGAGGGTAGATGAGGTGTCAGATCCCTGAAAACTAGTGTTCAGGATGGTTGTGAGGAACCACGTTGGTGCTGGGAACTGAACCTGGATCCTGTGCAGGACCAACTAATGACTTTAACTAGGGAGCCATTTCTCCAGCCCCCAAATATAACCTTCAAGGAAAATAAGCTTGTTCAAATTCAAAGGAGAGCTAGTACTTACACAGGGGTGGTAATGTAGGTTTACAGACAGTCATAATATTCTAACAACTTAAATACAGCCTAAGATTCTGTGAATTGATGAATTAATTATTTTAAAACTTTATTTTACATTTATTTATTTAGTACGTGTCCATGTACACCAAGTGTGTATGTAGAAGTCAGAGGACAACTTGCAGGAGTTAGTTCTCTCCTTTCACCATGTGGGTCTGGGGAATTAAACTCAGGTTGTCAGGCTTGGTGGCAAGTAGCCTATGGAGCCATCGAGCCAGCTCAAATTTATTCCTTTTTTTTTAACTGAAGAATAATTTCAAATATTTGCAAGGGAAAAATAGATAAGTATTCTCCATCAATAAAATTTAACTTTGGCTTGGAATCAAAGGAGAACCTTATTCATGTTATATATTAAGAGGAACATTTTATATCTGTCTGTCTGTCTCTCATCTATCTATCTATCTATCTATCTATCTATCTATCTATCTATCTATCATCCATCTATCTAGAGATAGGATCTTTACATGGCTTTGAGTGACCTGGAAATTGCTATGTAGACCAGGCTGGCCTTGAATTCAGAGAATTCAAGCCACCTGCCTCTGCTTCTGGAGTGCTAGGATTAAAGGTGTATGACATCAGACACAGCTGAGGACAAGTGTGTGCGAGATGTTGATAGACTTGGGTTTTCCCCCATTTGTTGAGGAATAGCTTGGCATTTCTCAAAGCCACACTATTGGGCTGGGATGTGACTAAGTGATAGAACATCTATCTATCAATCATATACAGGACTCTGGGCTTAACATCTACCGCCACTACCAAAAAAGAAAACAATAACCACCACCACCACCACAACCAAAACACAACCACAACAAAACTCTCTGAAAATCAAAGCAAATGTATCATTTTCATTTTGAAATATTTGATGTGTATTATGTCTCTTAGAAAAATGTTCTTCCTAGTATGAGAAATGTTTCTCATTTTGTTAAAACACAACTAGATCAGAAGAGATTAATTACATCAATCAATCCAAGGTTGAAAAGATCAGTCAATGAATGGTTGGTGAACTGCAACTTAGGTATAACAACAATTTACAATGGCTTAACAACAACAACAAAAAAGTAAAATCTATTTTATTTGCTATTTTTTTTTTTTTTTTTTTTTTTTTTTTTTTTTTTTTTTTTTTGGTTTTTCGAGACAGGGTTTCTCTGTGTAGCTTTGCGCCTCTCCTGGAACTCACTTGGTAGCCCAGGCTGGCCTCGAACTCACAGAGATCCGCCTGGCTCTGCCTCCCGAGTGCTGGGATTAAAGGCGTGCGCCACCACCGCCCGGCTATTTGCTATTTTTACAAGCTTACAAACTAAAAAAGACAAAAATCCTTCTTAGTTTTCACCTAAGAGTTTGCCTCTGTCCCCATCCAATCTTGTGCATGACCACAGATCTAAGCTCACAAGTGATTTACTGATTCTGTATGAAAGCAAATGGCATATATTAGTACAGTGGCACCAGACTTGGAGCAATGTGATTTTCACTTATTTTTAAGGAAATGCATGGCATTCTTGCTGCATTCTTAAGTTACCTCTAGGCAAGTGCTGAGGAAACATTCTCAAGCTCATCATACCCATATTCACCCAGATGTTAGACTGCTGTGTCCGTGTGGCAGGCTGCTGTCGAAGGAAAAGAAGATAGCGAGGAAATAATTCTAGTTCTGGGATGTCCGTCTTGCTATTCTTGATTACCTATTTTTGTGAAAGATAAAAAGTAGTGATGAGTCTTTTAAAAGAAACAAAACCCTTGTAGTCAAACTTAAGGTTCTATTAAAAAGTTTTATAGACTTATTTATCTTATGTGTATGAGTGTTTTGCTTGCTTGTATGTATGGGTACCACGTGTGCCTAGTGTCTGTAGGCCATAAGAGGGAATCAGATCTCCTGGAACTGGAGATACAGATGATTGTTAGCTGTCATGTGGGTACAAGGAACCAAACCTGGGTCTTCTGAAAGAGCAGCAAGAGCTCTTAAATTCCAAACCATTTCTCTAGCCCCTCTTTGCTGTGGATTATGCTCATTGTTAATAATAAAGCTGACTGGATGATAGCTAGGGAGGAAGAGACTGAGCTGAGTTAGGGGTTTGGGATCAGGGGTTAGGGGTTAGGGTTAGGGAGAGCCAGACTAAGAGAATTCTGGGAAGAGGAAGGGCAGAGTCAGAGTTGCCAGCAGACACAGAGGAAGCAAGATCAGAATGTCATACTGGTACCAAGCCACGTGGCTAAACATGGATAAGAATTATGAGTTAATTTAAGTGTAAGAGCTAGTTAGTAATAAGCCTGATCTACCGGCCAAGCATTTATAATTAATATAAGCCTCTGTGTGATAATTTGGGAAGCAACTGCTGGGTATTTGGGTATGGTGGGACATATACTTCCACCTACACCTCTTGGCGCTTTTTTTGAAATTATTTTTATTTTATAGTGTGTGTTTTTTTTTTAAGAAATTAACATTATGAACATTCCTTAAAAAAAATTTTTTTAAGCTGTGCAGTGAGTGGTGGCACAAGCCTTTAATCCTAGCACTCAGGAGGCAGAGAAAGGGGGATCTCTCTGAGTTAGAGGCCAGCCTGATTTATAGAACCAGTTCCAGGATGGCCAGGGCTACACAGAGAAACTCTGTCTCAAAAAACAAACAGACAAAACAAAACAAAAATTTTTAAGCTGGGTGTGGTGGCACATCTTTAATCTCGGCATTCAGGAGGTTCAGGTAGGTGTATCTCTGTGAGTGAGAGGTCAGCATGGTCTATATAGTGAGTTCCAGATCAGCCAGGGCTATGTAAAAAGACCCAGTCTCACTCCCCACCAACAGACCATTTTATTATTTTGTTTGTATGGGTGTTTTACCTGTATGTATATCTGTGCGCCACATGAGTACAGTGCTCTTGTAGGCCCAAAGAAGGGGATCCCCTGGAGCTGGAGTTTCAGACTGGTTGAGTAATGGTGTGTGTGTGTGTGTGTGTGTGTGTGTGTGTGTGTGTGATCAAACACAGGTCCTCTAGAACAGAGAAGCCAGTATTCTTAACCACTAAACCATCACTCCAGGCCCCATATGTGTATGGCCTTTTTGCCTGCATAAATGTATGCATACCACATGTGTACCTGCTGCCCACAGAGGCCACAAGAGGTTGTCAGATCCCCTGAAGTGTCAGATAGCTCTCAGCCACCATGTGGGTGCTAGGAAGCAAACCCAAGTTCTTTTGCAAGAACAGCCAGTGCTCTAACCACTGAGAAATCTCTCTAGCCCTTAACCTAAGGTTCTCTTAAAGATCGTGTTGCTCTATACAGCAGGCTGCCCAAACCTATGACCCTTGAGTATTGGTATTATAGTCATGTGACACCATGCTAAGCTTTGATATTAATTTAAAAATGTTCAACAAAGGCGCAAAGCTACACAGAGAAACCCTGTCTTGAAAAACCAAAAAAAAAAAAAAAAAAAAAAAATGTTCAACAAGCCGGGCGGTGGTGGCGCACGCCTTTAATCCCAGCACTCGGGAGGCAGAGCCAGGCGGATCTCTGTGAGTTCGAGGCCAGCCTGGGCTACCAAGTGAGTTCTAGGAAAAGGCGCAAAGCTACACAGAGAAACCCTGTCTCGAAAAACCAAAAAAAAAAAAAAAAAAAAAAAAAAAAAAATGTTCAACAAGTCCACTACCTATATTTTGGTGGCTTACGCATACATTTAAGTTACATAGATTTGAATATGCTCAGGGTTCGGCTCCTAAATTAATCTTTCAATATTAGAATTTGTGTACATTTCCATCCCACCTTCCATTTAAAAACAAAATCAGTGTCAACAAAACAAAACAAAAACCCTCCAAATCTCAGATGTGAGTGCAGCTTTCATCTCTCAAAGCTTCTCTTAAAAACTGACAGACCATTACAAAAAAAATCTCAACAATACAGCTGTCTAAACAAGACCCGACTAAAGACAACACCAAGACATGCTAACATGGAGGGGGAACTACTCAAGCCCTACCCCTAGACAAAAACTACAGGCAACAAAGAAATGCTAAAAGAGAGTAAAGCAGTCTTCCCCCAGGGAGGAAGCCCTCAACTAGTTATTTAACACCAAGTGGTCAGCCTTGAAATCGTCTACATGCAACACTGAATGGACTCAGCAGGTCATATATATTTGTGTGTGTGAGCGCACACCTATGCACATGCACCCGAATGTCTGTAAATAACAATTGGGGAGGAAGAGGCCAGGAGACTGGGTAGAGTGGAGGCTGGTGAGAGGAACTGAAGGAAGGAAAAGGAATGGAGGGACATAATAAAATTGCATTTTAATACCTCTCCAAAACCTTAAATATTACCTAAATACTAATTGAATAAATAAAATGTAAAGGAACCTACAGCTATTTTTCAACCAATCTGAACAGATTTCAAGTACTGTGCAACCATAAAGTAAGGACTAAATTGTGACTAGGGAAATCACACAGAAAAGTAAGTATCAACCTCTGGCCTTCATACACCACGCATCACACACGCACACGCACACGCACACGCACACGCACACTCTTCTATGACTACTCCTTATATAAGGCACCATGAGCTACACTTACTGGTCGAGGGAGGGCCAGGTTTGCTCCATACCAATGGTAAAGTGCTCTCCATACAGGCTCTGGGACCATTTCATAATCTCTTCCATGGAGTAGCTGTGGAGCTCGCTTTAATCGCCCTCCTTCTAATGTTAAAGATGTAGCCTTAGAAAGAATGAAATCCAGTACTGATTTTTAATTTTATAGTCTCTGGTACATCAAAAAAATCTAGACACAGAACAAGTTCCTGTTACTTCCCAGTTTCATATTGCTGGAAATTCATTTTTTTTCTTCTTAGAGTTTTGGTGGATCCTGTACTGTAAACAAGTTAACTGTCACTGAGCTACATCCCCAACCCAGAAAATGGGATTTTGGCAGAGGTTTTACTTTCCAATGAACTATTTAAGAAAAGGAACTCTGGGTGGGTAGGGTGGCACATGCATTTAGTGCCAGTACTTAGGAGGCAGAGGCAGGTGGATCCTCTTGAGTTCCAGGTCAGCCTGGTCTACATAGTAAGTTCCAGGACAGCTAGAGCTATATAGCATATTCTCTCTCACAGATATGTACTATGAGACGACATCATGCCTACAATAGGCTAAGTTTGATGAACCACAATGGTTTTCTTTGTGCTAAAACCTTTGAAATTGAATGGCTACTTGGAAGAGAACAATTTGAAAGTCTGATGTCAAACACCTACCTTTACTGGTTCTTGAGTTACTAGTGGCTGGTTATCAATAGCTCCTGGCTTCTGAGGATTAAGGTGCAAAAGGATATTCCCATTGGCTCCTAGCAAACACTGGTTGTTATTGTCAGAAGTATTATGTTGCCTTGCAAAGCACATATCTGCTCCTGGTGTGCCAGAATATAGAAAGCCTATCAAGAAACAAAACAAAACAATAACGATGTAGTTTTTTATTTTTAGTGGTTTTTTTTTTTTTTTTTTTTGAGACTGGGTTTCACTGTTTAACAGCTTTGGCTGTCCTGGAACTAGCTCTGAAGATCAGGAGGGCTTCGAACTCACAAGAGATCCACGTGCCTCTGCCTCACAAATACTCAGATTAAAGGTATGCTCCACCACTGCCCAGTAAAGTTTATTTTTAGTTGTTTTTCCCCCCAGCAAATGAATGACCGTACCTTCTTATTCATTCATTCATTTATTTAACTTTATTTTGTGTGCATTAGTGTGAGGGTGTCAGATTCCCTGGAACTGAAGTTACAGACAGTTATGAGCTGCCACGTGGGTGCTGGGAATTGAACCTGGGTCCTCTGGAAGAGCAGCCAGTGTTCTTAATTGCTGAACCATCTCTCCAGCCCTTATTTTTAGTTTTTTATATACACATAGGCTTGAAGATATAAACTCAAATGTCAATGTATTATGTTAATGCTATTATTCTTGTATGTCACAGAAGTTTTACATTTTGATAAATACATAGAAGATAGGAGACAGATGTATTTTCTAGACAAAATAGAGTAATAGGATTAAAATAAAAGTTCTAAAAAATGTTACCAAATGAATATTTGACTACCTTCCTAGAATATACAATAATTTATAATGAGAATTACAGGCCTCCTGATAAAAAGGAAGGCCAAGTAGCTGTGTTTTCACACTCCCTAAAATTCTTCTACTGCAAGCATTATTCCAAATATTCTTGGCAGAAAAGAGCAATAGAAAGCCTCTAAACCTCTGTCCCTCTCCCTCCCTCTCTCTGAGTCAAAGTCTGTATATAGCACTCACATTATGTAGACCAGGCTGGCCTTCAACTCAGAGATCCACCTGCCTCCTACTCCCTTTAAAGGGATTCATGTGTTACCACACTCAGTGCCTATTTTCTTCATATAGCTATTTAAAAAGAAGTCATAATCTTCATAATAGAAAAACACACAGAGAAAAATGACTAATAATGGTATAGTTGAACCTGATAGTATTTTAAGATATTTCAACTCTCAACTACATTATAAACATTCTAGTTATCAACTGGTTTGTAAACTTCTATGTGTGGCACTACTCATCCCGTGGGTAATAATGCTATATAGTAGCATACACGTCAGACAGAAACTTAGACAGGATTAAGAAATAATCTTGTTTTTAATGGGGAGAGGTGAGTGCTAAGGCTATTATTCATAGTAGAGCATGAAGTTACCACATCTGATACCCTTGACTCAAATGGAGAAGGAAAAGGAGATGGACAGAAAGTAAGAGAATGAAATGTGGTGTTACAGCAGATCACGACACTCCTAGGACCACTAAACCATTTCTGTAGTGTCGGATAGGGAAGAGAAACGGCAGACTCTACACAGAGTGAAGGAAAACACTAGCCCTGCCAGTTTGCTTACTACTCCCACAGGAAAAAAATGTCAGAGAAAATAATGTTTGAGAGTTTTGCTATTTTATCAGCAATTAAGAGGGATTATTCTCAAGTTGAATTATAGTAGTACCAAAGTATCTTCCCTATAAGTACGGAACCATTAAGGTTCAGATAAGTACAAAGGATAGAAGGGAATTATAAGTATTATTAATATGTGGTATTTTTTTTTTTTTTGGTTTTTCGAGACAGGGTTTCTCTGTGTAGCTTTGCGCCTTTCCTGGAACTCACTTGGTAGTCCAGGCTGGCCTCGAACTCACAGAGATCCGCCTGGCTCTGCCTCCCGAGTGCTGGGATTAAAGGCGTGCGCCACCACCGCCCAGCCTAATATGTGGTATTTTAACAAAATAAATCTCAAAATTCTGGACTGAGATATTGAGATGATTTGATATGAGGCCTCTAATCCAATGAAGGCACATGTATGATTAAAGAGTTCTTGAGAAGGATAATTTTATTTTCTTAAAATCTGTTTTCACTATACTGAATTTACTGGCAAAATAGATTATAGCAATATGGTTTGGCTAGTGAAAAGTGAAATGATTTTCATATTGAGAGATTATGAGTTTACTTAAAAACTGATAATATATTCAAGAATTTTATAACTCACCATTTCATTCAAAATGTATTTCTTTGAATGGAAGCCTGATGCCAATACTGTAACCACAAAAGTAGATTCAGCTAAGAATAATCATGAGTGTGGTGTGGTGGTACATGCTTGTAATCCCAGTACTTAGGAAGTAAAAGCAAGAGTTTCAGAAGTTCAGGTTTCAGAAGTTCAGAAGTTCCTCCTCAGCTATAAAGCAAGTTCAAGTCTTGTCTGGGTTACATGAGAACCTGTGTCAAAAACATTACTAAGCCGGGCGGTGGTGGCGCAGCACTCGGGAGGCAGAGCCAGGCGGATCTCTGTGAGTTCGAGGCCAGCCTGGGCTACCAAGTGAGTTCCAGGAAAAGGCGCAAAGCTACACAGAGAAACCCTGTCTCGAAAAACCAAAAAAAAAAAAAAACCATAACTAAGTCCCAAGTTATATTTACCACTGCCAGTAGACTCTGAGGCTTCAGATGCAGAAGAAATGTTGTCTGAGTATTTCTCTTCTGTGGTATTCACATAACTGAGGTTGTTACTGATTCTATCTTCTCCCTGCTCCATAGGATGTGCTGCTGCTCCAAACGAAAACTTTCCCCCATTTAGAACAGATGATGGCTCAATCACAACAGGGTTGGCATCCTAAAATCACAGAGAAGCCAAATTTAACACTCTGACAACTGTGTAGCTTTTAAAGAATTTTTAAAAATGTATTATTGTATTTTATGTACATGGGTGTTTTACCTCCGTGTGGGTGTACCATGTATGTGCCTGGTGCCCTCAGAGACCAGAAGAGGGTGCTGAATCCCCTAGAATAGATGGTTGTAAATTGCCATGTGGGTCCTGGGAATTGAACCTGGGTCCTCAGGTAGAGCAATTAGAGCTCTTAACCACTGAACCATCTTTCTAATCCCTCAAAAAATTAATTCTTATCACTGAGTTGCTAAAGTCACTTACTATATAATTAAATTTTACTTCCTTAAGGGAATAATGAGTATATGTATACACATATAAACACAATGTCCACAATATATTCATATAATATATACAATATACTCATCAGTACATTGAGAGAGACTGTACCACATAAACCAGGTCTGAAAGGCCAGAGATGCCACCCGATTACTACATACAGCAAAACAGTCAAAATCAAAGGAGAAGAACAGTTCATGATAAAAACAAATTTAAGGAATTTATGTTCACCAAGTTAGCTTTACAGAGGACACCAGAAGAATACTTCAGTCTGAAGAGAAGGTTAACCACACCAAGAAGATAAAGGGAATAATCTCAGAACAGTTCATCAAAAGAGGTCTAAAAAAACACCACCACAAAAAATATCAGGAATTAACAAGCATTGTTAAACAATAACCCTCAATATCAATACTCTAAATTTTCTAAAAAAAAAAGACAGACTCACAGATCGGCTTAGAAAACAGGATACATCTTTCTTCTGCCTCCAAGAAAATATACCTCACTATCGAGGACAGATATTATCTTAGGGTAAAAAGGATGGGAAAGGGTATTCCAGGCAAATGGAACTAAGAAACAAGTAGGCATAGCTATTTTAATATCTGATAAAGTAGACTTCAAACCAAAATGAATTAGAAGAGATGGGGAAACACACTACATACCCATTAAAAGAACAATCCACCAAGAGGATACTTACAATGCATTTATACACAAACACAAGGCACTAATTTCATAAAAGAAACATTATTAGATGTAAAATCACACATTTAGCTTAGAATAGTGATAGTGGTTGACTTCAATGCCTCACTCTCTCCAATATATAGGTCATCCAGGACAAAAAAATTAAACAGAAAGTCTGGAGTTGAATAATACCATAAATCAAATGAGCTTAACAAATATCTACAAAATATTCCACTCAAACACTAAATGTTACAATTTCTTCTCAGCAGCAGAAGGGACTTTCTCCAAAACCAACCACAGAGTAGGATATAAAGTAAATCTCAACAAACATAAAAAACCTAAAATAACATCCTGCAGCCTATCTGACCATCACAGATTAAAGCTGATTATGAACAGCAATACAAACAGCAGAAAATACACAAACTCATGAAGTCTAAACACACCACCGAATGAAAACTGGGTCAAGACAGAAATCAAGAAAGAAAAAAAAACAACAACTTAGAATTGAATTAAAATAACACAATATATGAAAATCTATGAGACACAAATGAAGGCAGTTCTTTTTTTAACTGTAATTAAAACATTTATCTGAAAACATTTTTAAGATTTTATTTTTTTTAATACATGTATATGAGTGTTTTGCCTGCATGCATGTATGTGGACTGCATGTCTGCCTGGTGCCCACAGAGGAAGGCAGTTCTAAGAGGAAATTTCACAGTACTAAATACCTAGATCAAAAAACTTGAGAGATCTCATATTAATAACTTAATGATACAAAAGTGGAAAGTAACAGGGGCACCTCAATGTTGACCTTTGGCTCTTCACCCCATACACATCTATAATCTTACAGTACATGGGAGGCACTAAGACTAAGACTTCTAGGCAGCTTGAGTTATGGGACTCTGTCTCAAGGGGAAAAAAAATAATAAGGCTACTATAAAAATGTACATAAGCCAAGCAGTGGTGGTGCACGCCTTTAATCCCAGCACTTGGGAGGCAGAGACAGGCCAACCTGGTCTTCAGAGTGAGTTACAGGACAGCCAGGGTCACACAGAGAAACCTTGTCTCAAAAAACCTAGAAACAAAACAAAACAAAACAAAAACCTAAAAAAAAAAAAATTTAAAACACAAAGATGGGGCTGGAGGGATGGCTCAATGATTAAGAGCATTTGTTGCTCTTTCAGAGAATCTGGGTTCAGTTCCCAGCACCCACATGGCAGCACACAACCATCTGTAACTGTCCAGCTCTAGTGACTCCGATGCCTGTTCAAACTTTCTTGGGAACAGGTATGCATATGGCATACAGACATACACAGGCACATATACACAAAAAGTTTATATATATATATATATATGAAGAAAGCAAATACCCTCTGTACTTAGAGTCCATCATTTAGCAATAACTGCAGTTAATATTTGGATGTATTTAATTTTGTTTTAGAGTCCATCATTTAGCAATAACTGCAGTTAATATTTGGATGTATTTAATTTTGTTTTATTCTTTTTCCTTTTTTTTTGAGATACCACCTTACTATACAGCCCATCCTGGGATTCTATATGCCATTTTATTTGGTATCTTATTCATTATAACTGAAAAATTATCTGTACATGCAGAAGATAAGTTGAGACATTCTTATTTACAGATCAAAGACAAGAAAGCAGTTAATAATGATCAATGTCTAAACAAAACACCAATTAAGCTGTGACTTGGTGTTCATCTTCCTGCTTTTGCCTCCTTTGTGCACCAAAGGTTTCTGGCAGGCATGAACAAAGCAGGCTCATATACTCTTGTCAGTACACTTTATAAGGGATGTGCTTAAGCCCTCTATGACGCTCCTATAGAAAATTAAAAGTAACATATTTAAGAAAAAGTTAAGTTATCCTTTGAGCGTACATTTAGTAAGATATTACCTTTTCATCCTAAGGCCAAAATAAGAATATAAAGACCAGAAAGTGTTTCAAAATAAAGACTGATGCTTTAACCTTAAGATTCCCATTCGTCTACTACATTCAACATTATCTGCCAACAGGTCCCTGAAGTCTGAATACTTTTATTCACTGAGAGACACTACAGTCCATGTTTGCTGTTAATATGTTTTATACTGGAAAACACACGGGCCGGGAATGTAGCCCAATGGTAGTGTGCTTATCTACTGTGTGTGAGACAGTAAAGTTCAACCTTCAGAACAGCAAACTGAACTTAAGCAAGATCCAGTTCCTGAGTGCAGGGGTTATAAGAGTGAGCCACTATGCCCAGTTGAAATGAAGTTTCTTGAATAATAAAATTAAAACTTATTAATTTCCTCCAATTTTTATTTTATTTTATTTATTTTTTTGATTTTTCGAGACAGGGTTTCTCTGTGTAGTTTTGGTGCCTTTCCTGGATCTCGCTCTGTAGACCAGGCTGGCCTCGAACTCACAAAGATCCACCTGGCTCTGCCTCCCGAGTGTTGGGAATTAAAGGTGTGCACCATCACCGCACGGCTCATTTTATTTCGTTTTTAGGAGACAAGGTTTCTCTATGTAGCCCTGGCTGTCCTGGAACTCCCTATGTAGACCAGACTGGCCTAGAACTCAGAACTAGATCACAGAGATCTACCTGCCTCTACCTTCCAAGCACTGGTATTAAAGGTGTCGGACACCACCACCCAGCCTCTCTTAATTTTTTAATGTAAAAGGTGAAGGACAATGCAAATAATGTAGTTGACAACACATATTTTAAAAACCAGCTGCTACACTGGATCCCACAGGTCTACAATGAACAGGATATCCAGGTTTCTTTTGTTCTCAGCAACAATTCCTCACAAGTAAAATGAATACCACATCTTCCTCATAGAGATATGAGAATTAAGTGGCATACACAGTGTGTAACATAAATAGGCACTACCTTTTCACAGGACTGTTGACAAGGGAGAAATCTGTGTAGAAATGCATACACTGAGCCTGTCCCCTATCAATTTTCATGAATACTCATTTTTTCCCCTTTAAACCTTGGTCCAATTTGGCATGCTATATTACTAGGTAGTAGTTCTACAGTCTGACAGAGTTGAAAATCTTACTATAGAACGTATATATACAGGAATTTAACTCACGTATTTGACATATTCTTTCCACTGTTGCCACCACTGCATGGAGATGATAAACCAATTGTGTCCTGGCTGCAGACCATACCTGCTTTCTCGTTCTAACCATCCTCTGCACATACAAAAGAAATCCAACGCATGAAAAGAAATTTTGTGAAACTGAGAGCAAGACTGTAATTTATCACTAGAATTACTTGTTTTTTTTTCCATCAGAAATTTCAAAACAGAAAAGCATGAAACCGAAAGATGTACTCAGAGACTGCCACTACTTCAATTAGTGTAGTGGAACACTGTTCTACCAGAAAGTCAATTTCAATGGTCACAGGCCACTGTGAAATACCATTCACAAACAGTGTTGGGGCTGGAAAGATAGCTCAGTGGTTCAAGTGCTTAACGCACAGGTACAAGGCCCTGACTTCAGATCTCCAACACTATGTAAAAGACACGTGTAGTAGTGCATGCCTAAAATCCAAGCACAAAGGTTGTAAACAGGTAAATTCCTGGACTTTGATGGCCAGCAGTCTAGCCAATGGGTAACTGCAATGGTCTGAATGAGAATGGCTCTCATAGGCCATGTTTGAGTGTTTGGTCCCTGATTGATAGAATTATTTGGAAAGGATTGGGAGGTGTGGCTTTGTTGGAGGTGTGTCACTGGAGTGGGCTTTGAGATTGAAAAGCCTACACCAGACCCAGTCTTTTTCCCTTTCTTTACTTGCTACCTGTGGATCAGGATGTAAGCCGTCAGCTACTGCTCAAGTGCCCTGACAACCTGCCTTCAAAGCTGCTTGACAAGGTGATCATGGACTAACCCTCTGAGAATGTAAGCAAGCCCCCAGGCAAATGCTTCCATAAGTTGTCTTAGTCATGGTATTTTGTCATGGCCATAGAACAGTCAGTAAAACAGTGACCTACATGAAGACTCCTATAAGTTGCCCTGTAACTGCCACACATGCCCCATCACATTCCCCTTCTCACAAAAAAATAAGATGTAGTAAAAATTTTGTTTGAAAAATACCATAATAAAACCTAACTCTTTGTATGCTAATAAAAATAAAGATAAAAAAATAACAAAAATTTAAAACTATCCTAATGGGTAAGAACCAGAATTTCATTCTGGTTTTGAGTTTATTCCCTTAATAACTAATTATATTGTTCATCTTTCTATGTGCCTGAAGACCATCTGAGTATCTCTAATGGAAAGCATGTCCATTGATGCAATGGAAATGTTATATAAACATTTGTAGTTCTCTATTTTTTTAGTTACATCTCACACCGACATGTATTATATGAATAACAGGCAAAACAAAAATAAATATCAAGCTCAATAACTGAAGACACACCAGCAAGTTTTATTATGACCCATTAGGTAGTCTGGAAAATAAACTATATTGATTAAAGTCATAAAAAGCACTTGTTACATATAGTTTTTTCGTTCATTTGTTTGTTTGGTTTTGTTTTTTTGAGACAGGGTTTCTGCATGTAACCCTAGCTGTGCTGGAACTTGATTTGTATAGACCAGGCTGCTCTCAAACTCAGTGCTCTCTGTCCTCTGCCTCCTAGTGCTGGAATTAAAGGCATGCACCACCCGGCTACATACAGTTCTTTAAATAAAACTCCAAATTGATATCAGATGTAAAATCCAGCTGCAAGAAATCTTGCTATAATTGATTATGACATGGATTGTCTTACATTTTAAAAATATACTTTAGGACACTAAATTACTCTTAAGATAACTGAGACAAGTTATCACTTTCATTCCCTCTCGCCCCCTGGAAATTTAAAAACTTCTATTATCGTACTTGTGTACATACATGCATACGAGCAAGCATGAATGGGGTATGTGTGTGCCCGTGCATGCACACATGCCATTGCATGTGTATAGAAACCAGAGGATAATCTAATGGAATCAGTTGTCTCCTTTGACCTTCAAGTGGGTTCCAGGCATAGAACCCAGGGTTTTAGAAATCCAGTCAGGTGACAGTGGTCAAGGGTATAGCTGTGCGCAGATGTCATTGCCTCCTACAGTACTCCCTAGATGTGTTTTTTTTTTTTTTTTTTTTTTTTGGTTTTTCGAGACAGGGTTTCTCTGTGCAGCTTTGCGCCTTTCCTGGAACTCGCTTTGGAGACCAGGCTGGCCTCGAACTCACAGAGATCCGCCTGGCTCTGCCTCCCAAGTGCTGGGATTAAAGGCGTGCGCCACCACCGCCCGGTGTCCCTAGATGTTTTTTGATTGTCCCCTCTGGTGGCAACTGCTAGGGGAGTTAGTTTGCCTGTTCTCTATATTTTAACCAGTTATCTTTTTGTTGTTGAACAGTAGCAGCTCTTTATACATTCTGGTTATTAAAGATTTATGGGAGATAGTTTGTTAATATTGTCTTTCTTTTGTTTTGTAGGTTGTCTTTCATATACAGAAGTTTTAGACTGTGAGGAAGTCAAGATAATTTGTAAGAGAATGCTTTTGGAGTCACATCAAAAAATCAAATACAAAATCCAAATAATTTCCTTTTCCTTCCTACTTTCTCTTTATTTCCTCCCCTACCCCTGTCCAAATCATTTTAAAGAGTTTTTTTGGATACAAAATTCTAAGTTGGTTTTTTTCTACACCTCTTATTTCTAAATTCTATGCTTTTTGATGGAAAAGTTGGCTACTCTTGGTGAGGTTCTCCCATTAGGACAAGTTGCTTTTTTCTTGCTGCTCTGAAAATTCTTTTAGTAATTACATTAGAGGGTAAGTTTTCTACCACTGAGTGACATCCCCAGTCCCAGTACAATTTTTAAAGTTAAACATAATTTGACTTTTAAATTAATCTAGTTTCATAGCTAGGAAGAGTATTAATTTGTTTGTTCATGGGATTTTTTTTGGTGTGTGGGGGGGGAGGGTTTCTCTGTATAGCCTTGGCTGTCTTGGAACTGGTTCTGTAGACCAGGATGGCCTTGAACTCACTGAGATCTGCCTGCCTCGGCCTTCAAAGTGCTGGGATTAAAGGTGTGGGCCACCACGCAGGCCTCTGTATGTAATTTTTAAAAACAGTTTTACTGTAATAATTAAAGCAAGATAAACTGTTCCTTGTAACTAATGTATTTCAGGTGTTAGAAATTTTAACTATGTAATAAAAAATACACAGAAACTATACATTTACCTAATAATTTGTCCTTCTTCTTCTGGAGTAGCTGGTCTTAACCCCAGAACTATGTGACATACCTAGGGAAAAAGAAAAAGATATTCAAACTTTACTAGTGGTGCTAGGATTAGACTGGATAACATTTGATGTCATTTACATGAAATCTACTTTTTAAATAAAAACTGAATTAACAATGGTTCAACTGGTAAATTATCAATTATTACCTGAAGAAATTTAACTTAGTTGTGGGGATTTTAATTTTTTTTTTTTTTTTTTTTTGGTTTTTCGAGACAGGGTTTCTCTGTGTAGCTTTGCGCCTTTCCTGGGACTCACTTGGTAGCCCAGGCTGGCCTCGAACTCACAGAGATCCGCCTGGCTCTGCCTCCCAAGTGCTGGGATTAAAGGCGTGCGCCACCACCGCCCGGCAATTTTTTTTTTTTTTTTTTTTTTTTTTAAATGGAGGCTAACTTCCAAATCTTGAATAGCAGAGTAGTGTACATTTTAGATCTATACCAATCAGGCATCAGCTGTCAAGAAGAGACCAATTTCCATTTATTCACACAGTTGTGTTGCATGCAAGTTATCCTTCATTGAAAATGGAAAATCATAAAAAAAATCCTCCTGAGTGAGGTAACCCAGATCCAGAAAGACAAACACAGTGTGTACTCACTCATAAGTGGATGTTAGAAGCAAAGCAAAGGATAACTGGGCTACAATCCACAACCCCAGAGAAGCTAGGTAAAGAGGAGGACACTAAAATGGACATATATCGATCACCCCAGGTAGGGGAAAGGGTTAAGAACTGCTAGGCACACTGAGAGGGAGGAATAGAGGGGAGGGAATGGAAGGGGAAGGGAGGTGGGAACATGGTGGAGAGACGGGGAGGGAGAGCAATGAAAGAGATATCTTGACAGAGTGTATCATTAAGGGGATGGGAGAAAGCTGCCGCTAGGGAAAACCCCAGGAACTCACAAGATTGTCCCCAGCTAAGACTCATAGCAATGGTGGGGATGGTTCTAGAACTGGCCTTCCCTGCACTCAGATTGGTGACTACCCTAACTGTCATCACAGAACCTACATCCAGTGGCTGACGGAAGCAGATGCAGAGACCCACAGCCAAGTACTTGGCCAAGATCCTGAAGTTCAGTTGAAGAGAGGGAGGAAGGGATGTAAGAGCAAGGGGGGTCGGAAACATGATGAGAAAAACCACAGAAATAGCTGACTCAAGCCAATGGGAGCTCATGGACTCTGGACTAACAGCTGGGGAGCCTGCAATGGACCGAATTAGGCCCTCTGAATGGGGGTGAATGTTGTGTGGCTTGATGTGTTTGTGGGTCCCCTGGCAATGGGACCAGGACTTACCCTAGGTAAACAAACTGGCTTTTCAGACCCCATTCCCTATGGTGCAATGCCTTACTCAGCCTCGATGCAGCAGGGAGGGGTTGGCCCCAACATGGTATAATAGCCTGTGTTGACTACCCAAGGGAGGCCTTCCTCTCTATGAGGAGGGGATGGGGGTGGGATGGGGGTAGGTGGGAAGAGTGGGAGAGGAGGAGGGAGGGAGAACAGGGGTTGCTATGTTAAAGGAAAGAAAAAATTTTTTAATAAAAAATTATACACACACACACACACACACACACACACACACACAAAAACAAAAAAAGAAAATGGAAAATCATAAGAAATATAAACATACCAAGCCATTATGACCTTTACAGGTGTTTTAACAAGGAAGAGAAAATAAAAAAGAAACAAAAATAATCACTATTAGATTCAAGTGTGTTTCTATAAGACGTGGTTATATAGCCTGGATGTGCTAACACAGACATATGATGGAAGACACAGAATTACTAGTACCCATCACCCTTCCCAAATGTGTAATTTGCCTTAAACATACCTGGAAGAGGAGATTCAAAAATTCATTGGCGAGAACATTTTTCACACTCCAGATCTGATAGTCTTCCAGAGTAAGATGGCCCATCTGAAAAAGAGACATTCAAATGATCTCCTGTCAATAAATGTCATTTAGAATAAAAATCATATTTTTGAAAGCAAACCAATAATACGGAGATGGTACGGGTTCACATAAGAAGTTTGACAATTAGTATAAATTTACAAGTGATAAAATACAAAAAAATTATCTATAATTTTGTTCAAGCAGTCAGTAGAAACAAAGCAATTATTACAATTTCCTTTCTCCAATACAACTTTGGAAATGACCTGTGCAGAGTGGCACAAATCTGTAATTCCAGAAGGAGGATCAGGAGTTCGAAGCCATTCTTGGTTACCCAGAGGAGTTTGAGACCATCCTGGGCTACACATAGTGAGATCCTGTCTTAAAGAACAACAACAATAATGCATATTTTAGATAAATGGTGAGATATCACTGGAGTCAGCAAAATGTCCAAGTCCTACCCTAAACTGTAACTGTTTTATTATCATAGTTACATGGAGATTTGAGCAGCTAAACAATCTGCTCAATGGTCACTGGAGCCAGAAATGTTAAGCTTCCTTTAACATAAAAATATACTACCAGGGCAATAGGCTTTTAATCCCAGCCCCGGGAAGTAGAGTCAGGTGAATCAACAAGTTTGAGGCCAGCCTCATCTACAGAGAGAGAGAGAGAGAGAGAGAGAGAGAGAGAGAGAGAGAGAGAGAGAGAGAGAGAGAGAAGAGAGAGAGTGTGAGGACAGCTAGGGCTACACAGAGAAATCTTGAAAAATCAAAAAGGAAAAAAAAAGTACTTAATTTTTTTTTTAATGTGTATGAGTGCTTTGTCTATATGTATGTCTGTGCACCATATGGGTGCCTGGTGCTTGCTGAAACCAGAAGGCATTAGATCCTTTGGTACTGGAATTGTAGACAGTTGTGAGCCACCATGTGGGTATTAGGAAGCAAACCCAGTACCTCTGGAAGAGCAGCCAGTGCTCTTAACCACTGAGCCATCTCGCCAATCTGTTTTTTATTTTTTTAATTTTCTTTTTAATTATATGTATGTGTTTTGATCTCTCTCTCTCTCTCTCTCTCTCTCTCTCTCTCTCTCTCTCTGTGTGTGTGTGTGTGTGTGTGTGTGTGTGTGTACAGTACAGAAGAAGGGAGCAAGAAGCTGATCCCCTCTAACTGGAGTATTTAGGTGGTTATGAGCTGTATCCTTTGCAAGAGGCAGTATATACTCTTAATTGCGAGGCCATCTCTCTAGTCATAGACAGCAATACTTGTGTATTTGTAAGACACTAAAGAAAAGAAGTATTTAAATTGCATCTCTACACAAAGCAATTTCTTTTTTCTCCTTTTGGTTTTTCAAGAGCTCTTACTATCCTGGAACTTTCTCTGTAGCCCAGGCTGGCCTCAACTCAGAGATCTGTTTGCCTTTGCCTCCTGAGAGCTGGGATTAATGATGTGTGCTGCCACTACCACTCCAATCGTCTTTTAAATAATGAGGTTTGTGCTATGTAGCCTAGAACTCTGAATCCTGCTCTTCTATGTGAGACTTCTAAGTAATGGGATCACAGGTGTGCGCCATCACAACCAACTACAAAGCAATTTGTTTTTGTTCTTATACAAAGGTTTTTGTTCTTACACATACCAAATAGAAGTGGACACCTTAGTTTGACAGAGAGGGTGAAAATTAAGGGGGAAGTTTAAATTGGTAAGTAGGCTTTCAGCCCCCCAAAAATAAATCATTTGTTTCTATTGAGAATTAGTTAATGGGGATATCATTCCTTCTGCAACAGGGATTGAATCAAGAAAATAACTGACTTAATTTTTTTTTCTAAACCTCAAATTTATAACACCATTATGGCCTATACTTTACCAGCCTGCTACTAAGTACATGTCAATATTTGAATGAAAATATTCAAATTACTTCACATATAAAAATTATTTTCACTTTCACAGAGACAAATAGATAAAAATTTAAAACAAGCTACAGAAGTAAATCTGTTATGATACTGCTACTAATAAGTCTTATCAAACTAAATAATTTAAGGAGTTATTATTTGTAAATCCATGGCCTCATATTCCTTCCCAGTTAATCTAACCACCTCAGAAATCACAACCTCTGTATCTACCACTGTTAGCTTTTCTTCTGTTCTTAAATCTGATATAATAGAGCCATGCTAGATATACTGTTTGGTTTCCCCATAAAGCTGGCCTTACCATGACTATTAAATGGAAGAAATAAAGACTATAAACTAAAGCTGTCAAGAGAGATGTCTACTTAATTCATACATTAGACTTCACTGAGTTGTTTGAAGATGGAATGGGCTATCTTTAGAGATGATGTAAAGGTATTTTAACCACAGGTCCAGATAAGTGGGGATAATGCAGAAGAGTCATTTGACCATACATATAAATGACACATCTTTATTTAGAGCACACAGTATTTTTTTTTTTTTTAAATTACTCATAGCCAGCCTCACCTTTGTGGTATCATGTGCATTCAATATATCTTCTACAATGTCCGACAGAGCCATATGTAATTCCTTTAAAAAGAAATTCAAAAGAGTAGTATGTATGATTTTTAGCCCCCTCATACATAAATAAACAATGCTTTTTTTTCTTTTATTTCTTTTCAAACATTCACTCCATCTTCCTTGTAAACAATCAGAACTTAGCAGGACATAGGGCACACTACATGCCTGCCTTAATAACATTAAAACCCAGTCTCGGCCGGGCGGTGGTGGCGCACGCCTTTAATCCCAGCACTTGGGAGGCAGAGCCAGGCGGATCTCTGTGAGTTCGAGGCCAGCCTGGTCTCCAAAGCGAGTTCCAGGAAAGGCGCAAAGCTACACAGAGAAACCCTGTCTCGAAAAACCAAAAAAAAAAAAAAAAAAAAAAAACCCAGTCTCAAAAACCAACCAATCAACAAAAAAAGTCATAACTTACAGGAATATCGTCAGTGCGGTTATCTTTCCAGACCTCCAAAAGTGCAACTACCATGTCTTTCAGTTCAACCCTGGAGAGAACTCCATCACGGTCAACATCAAACACCTTGAAGCAAACTAATGACAAGAAACTCTTAAGAAGGGAAATCACTTTTAGATTCTAAAACACAATACATTTCATTAGAAGCTACCCTGTACTATTAGTTAATTTCCTAAGCAAGTATGTACTAGAGCAGTTCTCATCAGGAGCAGACTATGCTATAGCATTATTAAACAATTATTGTAATATACAGAACTTTGTGAACAGACCTCATGACTGTCTCTAAATCACTACCCAGCCAAACCCAGAGCTACTTTTCTTATACACTGGAAAGAAAAGGCTAAGTCACTCACTCTGTAAGAAGCATTACTTTACAGGTTTTCAAGAGGCAAGGCAAATCTTTGGATCTCTCTCTTCGCCCTGGTGCTGCTGAATCAAACCTGAGCCTTGGTCAAGCTGTGCATATGCTTTTCTTTGCACTCAGCTCCATCCCCTCCCCTAGGTTAGTCTTTGCACTCAGTCAGTTCTATCCCCTCCCTTTACTTAGTTTCTCATACTCAAGACTGATCACTGAAGGGCTCTTTCTCCTATGCTTAAAATTCCCATCTACACTGAGAATTAAGACTCCTAATTTCAATATCTTGAATGTAATTCATGCCACTGAATTGTGAACTTAAAAATGGTTACAATTGCAAAAATTATGTTCATTTAAAAAAATAAGGTGGAATGTAATCACCATACATTATATGTGTGTATGAAATTAAAGATAGCGATGTTCTAAAATTGAAAGTGGTGATGTCATAAGCTGGACTAAAGTCTATCAAATTGTGCAAACAGGCAAATTGTATACTATGTGAATTATTTGTCAATAAAGATTTTATAAAATGTAAAAAACAAACAAAAAGACTCCTAATTTCTACTTTACCTGTCCAAAAAAAAATCTAATATACATTTAATATTTTTTCGCCGGGCGGTGGTGGCGCACTCCTTTAATCCCAGCACTCGGGAGGCAGAGCCAGGCGGATCTCTGTGAGTTCGAGGCCAGCCTGGGCTACCAAGTGAGTTCCAGGAAAAGGCGCAAAGCTACACAGAGAAACCCTGTCTTGAAAAAAAAAAAAAAACCAAAAAAAAAAAAAAAAAAAAAAAAACACCAAATATTTTTTCAAGTGCAATTTTAACTCTTTAGTAAAGTTTATATACAACAATGTAAGAATTAGACAATTACCACTTTAACTCTAAATGAATCATTCTGGTTTGTTAACTTCTGGTTGACTAGCACAAAAAAAAAAAAGAAAAGAAAATAAATAAAGAAAGAAAAAGAAAGTTAAAATAAAAAATTATTTTAAATTGCATTTATTTATTCAGTGTGTTTATTTAAGTGCACATGTAGACGTCTAAGAACAACTTGTGTGTCAATTTTCTCCTACTACTATGTAAGAGGTCCCCAGATCTAATGCTAGTTGTTTGACTTAGTGGCAAGCATTCTTACCCATTAAGCCACATCACTGACCCAAACTTTAAACTTTTTCTTAAAGACACTAAATTTCAATGAAAAATAATTGTTGGGTGGGTGTGTTGTTGGTGTATGCCTTTAATCCCAGCATGTGAGAGGGAGAAGCAGGTAGATCTCTGTGAGTTCAAGGTTATCCTGAGCCATAGAGTAGGATCCTGTCTCAACAAACCAAATAAACAAATGAACAAACAAACAAACAGATTTTAGTAAGAAAGAAGTCATCTGTCATAAAACCAATTTGGAATAATGAATAACGAAGAAACTTGAATGTGTAAGATCAAAAATATCCTTTCATGCTGGGCAGTGGTGGCTCATGCCTTTAATCCCAGCACTCGGGAGGCAGAGACAGTAGGATCCCTGTGAGTTTGAGGTCAGCCTGGTCTACAGAGCCAACTCCAGGACAGGTTCCAAAGCTACAAAGAAACCCTGTCTCGAAACAAACAAACAAACAAACAAACAAGATTTATTAATGTGATATTATGCTTTAAGACCATTTTGGATGGAAAATATCATTTTAGTATTTAATAAAATATGTCCAACTACAAATTTCCTCTTGTGAATAGAGTATTAATGTATATAAGTAACAGAATGAGTTATGCTTCAAATTATCTAAGACAAAATACTCTATAGACTAACAAAATATTTTCTAATATTTAAAATCTTCCTTAAGCATGGTGGCTCACACCTGCAATTCTAAGCATTCAAGAGGCTGAGAAAGGAAGGTCAAGAGTGGTAGGTCAGTCCAACCTAAGACCCTGTTTCAAAAAATATTTTTCCCATTTATAATTTATTAATTATGAATTTCAGATTTTCCAGGACAACCAATCCTATTAATAACAGAAAATATCCCAAACTATATCTTAGTAAGTACTAAAGAATACGTTGTTGCTTCCTCAGACTGAATTCACTAAATCACCAATTATGAGATTACTATTTGCCAACATGATAGTTAAGAAACTCAATCCTTAATCCACAAAGGATGATTCATTGAATTCTGTTTTTACATAATGTGACACTTTGCAGATAATATTTATCACACTTACATTTTTGTCTTTCAGCTAGGGGGCCCCTGCAGCAGGCTGATAACCCACAGGATATCTCCTTGAAGTCTATGTGATTGTCACGATTTTCATCAAAAGCATTAAATAAACCTATAAATAAAAAAAGACACCATAAACCACAGTCAACAAACTTCCTAATGTAACACTGATATGTTTATGAAGTTAGGAATGACTTTTACATAAAGTGACTATATTTAAAAAAAAAAAAAAGCTTGCAATTTTCCAAGGAACTATTCCTTCTTTCCTTTAGTATAATTACAACTGAAATCCATACGCCAGTAGAATACACTACACTCCTTTTTTTACTACACTTTTTTACTTCCTTTGCTTATGTCTGTTTTTACTTCTCTAGTACAAATTATCTAGTAGTTTAAAGATGCCTATATTTTTCAAAGGTAATCAAATGAATATTAAGAATCAAGCTGGGAACTAGGTGGTGGTGGCACATGCCTTTAATCCCAGCACTTGGGAAGCAGAGGCAGTTGAATCTCTGAATTCCAGGACAGCCAGGGAACAACCAGAGAAACCCTGTCTCAAACAAACAAACAAACAAAAAGAATCAAGAAAGGTCAGAAATTATAACAACTGTCCTTCAAAAGACAGGAGAAAAGCTGAACTGCTTATTAAATGAATATTCAAATATATATCATTACATCATCAATAAACTTTTGTAAAGCTTTTCCTGGAAAAGGGAATATATTACTATAAGAAATGACTACAGTACCTTCTTTGTAAAAATCTTTCACACATATATTTTAAATTTCAGAAGAGGGTAGGAACTTAAAATTTCACCCTGTGATTTTTCATTTCTTAATAAACTATGTACAATTTCAAATAAAATTATGTGTAAACTTCCCAATTCTCTTTTTCTAATAGAATTTAATTTTAGTTTACTTTTTGACAATTTCATACACGTGAACAAAGCATCTCAATCATATCCATTCTCAACCTTCCCATGCTTCTACCCTCCCCAGGAACTTCGAACAATCCTCCACACCAATCATCTACTTCCTCAAAGGGAAGAACAGAATTACACTGTTGAACAGGTAGAAGCCGAGGTACAGGGGACAAAGGTGCTTGTGGCCTGATGACTGAGTTAGATCCCCTGAAAAACTCATGGTGGAAGGAGAGAACTAGCTCTCAAAAGCTGTCCTCTAAGCTCTGTATGCGTGCCATGGCATGTGTGTGCATGTGCTCAAATGTAAACACATCTCTAGCGCTCTCTCTCTCTCTCTCTCTCATACACACAAAATGTTAAAAAGAAAGCAAGCAAAGCAGAGGGAGGGAGGGAGGGAGGGAAGGAAAAGGAAGGAAGGAAGGAAGGAAGGAAGGAAGGAAGGAAGGAAGGAAGGAAGGAAGGAAGGAAGGAAGAGGAAACCCAGAGTACTATGTGCTCTAGTTCAGCTAAGGAGCACTTCTGAAATATCCTAGGTAGTTGAAAACAATGTATATCATATGCTTCAAGAATCTAAGAGGCAGGCAGGCACAGTGGCGGGAGGTGGCCAAGACACAGTTGCAATAAAGACCAGAAACTGAGCTATTACCTGCTGAAAAGTTAGTGAAAACAAGCTCTTAATCAAGAGCTTGGACAGGGACGCCTTTAATCCCAACACCCGGGGAAGGAGCCATCTCCATGGGATGGAACCAGAACAGATCTGAACACTGTCTGAGGCCAACCCAGGGCCCAGCTGCTGATCCTGCGAAACCCAACAACTTGGAGGTGTTGGTGAGACTACCCTGCTCAGCTGAAATCCATCCGGGAGAGGATTCAGAACCCTACAGTTTGAAGTCTGAGAAAACAAGATCAACTGAGGAGTTGACGAATGAGCAAAACGTGACCTGAGAACACAGAAGAAGGCGCCACCCAGCCACCGAACCAGATCACCAGAATCGTAACTATACACTTCACGGACTGAGAACAGGTAAGGTCCCTAGCCCCTAGGCCATACCCATCCGAGTCCCAGAGACCAGACAGCTACCTTTCCCTGCTCCCCCACCAAAAAAACAAAAAAACAAAAAACAAAAAAACCTAACCCTACGAACCTAACAACTACTGAAACCATAAGCACACCCTGCACCAACTGGGAACAACTGCTCCCAGAGACAGAACCCATTAACACTAATTTGACTAAGCTGCTCCCGAAGAAACAGAGCCCAACAGCTCCAATTTAACCAAGAACTCCTAGTGAACCAAGACTAAAAATTAGAACAAGAGAGGCACCTTCAGACACAGACACTGCCTGTACCGAGCAGAGGAAGAGATGAGTAGACGCCAGTGCAAAAATACAGGCAACAACATAAAGACCTATATGACATCAGAACCTAATGATTCTACACCTGCAAGACCTGAACATACCAAGACAGAAGAAACAGAAGAAATCAATCCTAAAAATGACTTTAAGAAGATGACAGAGACAGTTAAGGAAGAAATAAAAAATTCCCTTAAAGAGAAATAAAAAATTCCCTTAAAGAGGAAATGAAAAACTACATTAAAGAAGAAATAAAATATTCCCTTAAAGAGGAAATAAAAAATTCCCTTAAAGAGGAAATGAAAAACTACATTAAAGAGGAAATAAAAAATTCCCTTAAAGAGGAAATGAAAAACTCCCTTAAAGAGGAAATGAAAAATTCCTGTAAAGAGGAAATAAAAAATTCCCTTAAAGAAATGGAAGAAAAAACAAAACAAAAAAAAAAAACTGGAAGAAATCAAAGAAAGCCAAGAAAAAGTAATTAAACAGATGAAAGAAACATTCCAAGATCTGAAAAATGAAATTGAGACAATAAAGAAAACACAAGCTGAGGGAATGCTGGAAATAGAAATCCTGACTAAACGAACAGGAACTACAGAAACAAGCATAACCAACCGAATGCAAGAGATGGAACAGAGAATCTCTGACACTGAAGACACAATAGACAAAATAGATTCATCAGTCAAAGAAAACACTAAAAACAAAAAAGTCGTAACACAAAACCTCCAAGAAATTTGGGACACCGTGAAAAGACCAAACCTAAGAATAATAGGGATAGAAGGAGGAGAAGAATATCAACTCAAAGGCACAGAAAATTGCTGTGGAATGTTCTGTATGGCAAATGTGTTGCTAATTAGTCAATAAATAAAACACTGATTGGCCATTGGCTAGGCAGGAAGTGTAGGCGGGACAAGGAGGAGAATAAAGCTGGGAAGTGGAAGGCTGAGTCAGAGACACTGCCAGCCACCACGATGAGAAACAGCATGTGAAGATGCCGGTAAGCCACGAGTCACGTGGCAAGGTATAGATTTATAAAAATGGATTAATTTAAGCTGTAAGAACAGTTAGCAAGAAGCCTGCCACGGCCATACAGTTTGTAATCAATATAAGTCTCTGTGTTTACTTGATCGGGTTTGAGCGGCTGTGGGACTGGCAGGTGAGAGAGATTTGTCCTGACTGTGGGCCAGGCAGGAAATCTCTAGCTACAGAAAATATATTCAACAAAATCACAGAAGAAAACTTTCCTAACCTAAAGAAAGAAATACCTATGAAGATACAAGAAGCTTACAGAACACCAAATAGGCTGGATCCAAAAAAAAAGTCCCCTCGCCACATAATAATCAAAACACTAAATACACAGAACAAAGAAAAAATATTAAGAGCCGCAAAGGAAAAAGACCAAGTAACATATAAAGGCAAACCCATCAGAATAACCCATCTAGAAGGTCCTGGACAAATGATATGCAGACACTAAGAGACCACGGATGCCAACCCAGACTATTATACCCAGCAAAACTCTCAATCACCATAAGCGGAGTAAACAAAATATTCCATGATAAAACCAGATTTAATCAATACCTGTCCACAAACCCAGCCCTACAGAAAGCACTAGAAGGGAAAATCCAACCCAAAGAAGCTAAACACACCCACGAAAACTCAGGCAATACATAATCCCACACCAACAAACACCAAAGGACAACACAACACAACCACAAAAAAATAACAGGAATTAACAATCACTGGTCATTAATATCCATCAATATCAATGGTCTCAACTCACCTATAAAAAGAACAGACTAACAGAATGGATAAGAAAACAGGATCCATCCATCTGCTGCATACAAGAAACACACCTTAACTTCAAAGACAGACACTACCTCAGAGTAAAGGGCTGGGAAAAGGCTTTCCAAGCAAATGGACCTAAGAAACAAGCTGGTGTAGCTATCTTAATATCTAATAAAGTAGATTTCAAACTAAAATCAATCAAAAGAGATCAGGATGTACATTACATATTTATCACATGAAAAATACACCAAGATGAAGTCTCGATTCTGAACATTTATGCCCCAAATACAAAAGCACCCACATTCATAAAAGAAACATTACTAAAGCTTAAAACACACATCAAACCCCACACATTAGTAGTGGGAGAGTTCAACACACCACTCTCACCAAAAGACAGATCCACCAGACTGAAACTTAACAAAGAAATAAAGGACCTAACAGATGTTATGACTCAAATGGACTTAATAGATATCTACAGAACATTCCATCCTAACACAAAAGAATATACCTTCTTCTCAGCACCCCAAGGAACCTTCTCAAAAATTGACCACATGCTTGGTCACAAAACAAATCTCAACAGATACAAAAAAATTGGAATAACCTCCTGTATCTTACTGGACCACCATGCCTTAAAGTTAGACTTCAACAACAACAAAAACTATAGAAAGCCTACAATCTCATGGAAGATGAATAATGTCCACCTGAAACATCAATGGTCAAGGAAGAAATAAAGAAAGAAATTAAAGATTTCCTAGAATTCAATGAAAATGAAATTGAAGAAGATATCAGAAAATGGAAAGATCTCCCATGCTCATGGATAGGTAGGATAATATAATAAAATGGCAATCTTACCAAAAGCAATCTACAGATTCAATGCAATCCCCATCAAAATCCCAACACAATTCTTCACAGACTTGGAAAGAAAAATACTCAACTTCATATGGAAAAACAAAAGACCCAGGATAGCTAAAAGAATCCTGTATAATAAAGCAACCTCTAGAGGCATCACCATTCCTGACCTCCAGCTCTACTATAGAGCTATAGTAACAAAAACAGCTTGGTAAAGGTATAAAAACCGACGTACAGACCAATGGAATCGAATTGAAGACCCTGACATTAATCCATGCACATATGAACACCTGGTTTTCGACAAAGAAGGCAAAACTATACAATGGAAAAAAAAGAAAGTATCTTCAACAAATGGTGCTGGCATAACTGGATGTCAATATGTAAAAGATTACAAATAGATCCATATCTATCACCATGCACAAAACTCAAGTCCAAGTGGATCAAAGACCTCAACATAAATCCAGTTACACTAAACTTAATAGAAGAGAAAATAGGAAGTACTCTCGAACGCACTGGCACTGGAGACCACTTCCTAAATATAACACCAACAGCACAGACCCTGAGCACAACAATTAATAAATGGGACCTCTTGAAACTGAAAAGACATGGTCAATAAGACAAAAAAAAGACAGCCTACAGAATCGGAAAAGATCTTTACCAACCCCACATCTGACAGAGGATTGATCTCCACAGTATATAAAGAACTCAAGAAACTAAACATCAAAATACATAACAATCCAATTAAAAAATGGGCTAAAGAGCTAAACAGAGAATTCACAAAACAAGAATCACAAATGGCTGAAAGACATTCAACATCCTTAATCATCAGGGAAATGCAAATCAAAACAACTCTGAGATACCATCTTACACCTGTCAGAATGGCTATGATCAAAAACACTAATGACAGTCAATGTTGGAGAGGATGTGGAGCAACGGGAACACTTCTCCACTGTTGGTGGGAATGAAAGCTTGTACAACCACTGTGGAAATCAGTATGGTGGTTTCTCAGAAAATTGGTAATTGAACTACCTCAAGACCCAGCCATACCACTCTTGGGCATATACCCAAGGAATACTGATTCATACCACAAAAATAAATGCTCAAATATGTTCATAGCAGCACTATTTGTAATAGCCAGAACCTGGAAACAACCTAGATGCCCGTCAACTGAAGAATGGATTAAGAAAATGTGGTACGTATACACAATGGAGTACTACTCAGCAGAGAAAAACAATGAAAGCATGAAATTTGCAGGCAAATGGATGGAACTACAAAAAATCATCCTGAGTGAGGTAACCCAAACCCAGAAGGACAAACATGGTATGTACTCACTCATAGGTGAATTCTAGATATAAAATAAAGAACAATCAGACTACAACCCACAGAACCATGGAGACTATATATATAGCATGGGGACCCTAGGACAACTGTGGCTTATAATAAGTTTTGGTTTTACTCAATTACTGAGCAAGCCTCAATGAAACATTTCACAATTAAGATGGGAATACATACTGTATCAAGCTGGTAATAGAAAAGTAGATAAATTGATTAATTTGAAAAAAATAAAAAAGAAAAGAAAAATTTGAACTGTTTAAAAAGGAGCCAAACAAACATATTTTGCTGGAGTCAAAAAAGGGGGAACTAGGGACTCATCATTCCTCTCCACATTCTATTCTTCCCCTTGTTTTATATATTTTCAATTTTTTATCGGTGGATTCTGCTGGAGTATCCACTACAGATAAGCACTGGAGGTCTCCTGTTGCAAATCACCCTCTAGAGCGATGGAAGGATTTTTCTACTAGCACTTGGAGGAGACCCCCCATCTGGTGTTGGTGTGGACCTGGTGTTCTGTTTATGTCTTTCCTCAGGACAATGAGGCTCCTCTTTGGATTCCTGAGCGCGGTGTGTGCCCTGTGACTGCTGCTGAAACCCAACATGACAGAGACCTATTGGGTCTTAATGAAAAACTCTCCCCTTCTGATGCCAATGGGAATTGAAAGCCCAATATGGCCAGCTTTGGCAAGCATTGACATAAGCCTAGGAACTGTAGCCATGCTTTTGGATTCTCCAGAAGAGCTGCCAGCCTAAGTCGTGCTGGGATCAAGAAAAATGGGCCTTGGCGGTTCGTGTTCCTGGAGTTGTATCCATGCCAGTGGATGTTCACACGCTCCAGAAGGGAATATGACATTGCTGCTGCCGTTGTTGCTGTTATAGCAGTGGCAGTCACCACTGCTACTGTTTCTGGGATTACCATTTCATAATTGGTTACTACAGCTAGCACAGTGGAGACCCTGGCAGCAAAAGCAGCTACCACAGTTAGTTAATCTTTCATTCTATTGGGCATGATAAATTTAATTCAATAGTTATATACATTTCGATTGGCTTTGAAAATTATAAATTTGCTTTTGGGATACCATCTTACAAGGACTCCAATTTGCAGTAAGGTTCGTTAGGGAAGGGAATGGCTCAGTTGCCTTTAGCCTACTGGCTATGGGTGGGATAGGACCTCTGTTGGTCTTTTCTGTGTTGAACACACAGACTGCAAGCCCAGTGCCACTTTGAGATCTTTGGCAGCAGTTAACTCTGCAGCTCACACATGATTGAGCCTGTATGATAATGAGTATTCAGAGATGGGTAATGTCGGGGGGGGGGGGGTGCTCACCAACCTAAGACAGAGCGCCTGTGTGGCCTGGGCAGGCGTCTCCATGACGGGTAAGGTGACCTGCTGACGTCCCAAGCAACCTAAGTCAGAAACTCATTTTTTAGTAAAAGGGGGACCTGTAGGGCCCTGAGCCCCGTTTTGGGTAACTGTTGCCTTGCTTGCTGACCTTGATCTTGATATCCTCCCTATGCTAATTCCCTGCTGTGTTCCACCCTCCTGAATGCTTAAGGGAAGTTCCTTGTCTGTGTATCCTGCATAATGGGCGCTAACAGCTTTGATGCAAGATTGTAAAACATCTGTAGCGAACTGCCCTCTGGGGTTCTCCCATTGTGCTGTAAGCCTGTATTTAAGACCTCTTCCCTCCTTCAATAAACAGCATTCAGCATAAAAAAAAAATTAAATTAAATTAAATAAAAATTAAAAAAAAGAATCTATCTACTCTGTGTTTCAGTATGAACAATAGAGAACTAGGCATGGTGGTACATGCCTATAATCCCAGTACTTGGACTGTCTGTAACTCCAGTCCTAGGGGATCTAACACCTTCCTTTGTCCTCTCGGGCACCAGGCATGTATATGGTGCACAGATATGCATGCAGACAAAACATCCATACACAGAAAATAAAAACATTAAAATTAGAAAGTTAAGTAATTTCAAGAAAAGTTCAAAAACTTAAGTCAAAAAATGGGGCTGGAGAGATGGCTTGCCTGTTTAGAGCAATTGTAGCTCTTACAGAAGACCCAGATTTGCTTCCTAGCACCCACGTGGTGGCTTACAACCACTTGTAACTTCAGTTTCAGGAGATCCCATGTCTTCCTCTGACTTCTGAGAGCCCCAGGCATGCATGTGGTGCACATACATATACTCAGGCAAAACTTATATAACACAAATATATATTTAAAAAAGGGGGGGGGGTTGAGGATTTAGCTCAGTGGTAAAGTAAGGCCCTGGGTTCGGTGCTCAACTCAAAAAAAAAAAAGTGAAAACTAAAAATACTTTATAATCAGAAACAGAACCCAAGTATTCAGATTTCAAATACAATGCTTATGGTGTCATCCAAAACAATATATATATTGTTTTGTTTTTCAAAACAGGGTTTCTCTGTGTAACAGCTCTGGCTATCCTAAAACTCACTTTGTAGACCAGGCTTGCCTCGAATTCCTCTAATCTCTCGAATGCTGGGATGAAAGGCGTGTGCCACCACTCCCCAGCTTTCAGAGATGTTCTCATCTAGAAGCTTCTATTCTCTTTTTCAGGGGAGGGAGCAGCAGTGAAATCTTATGTGAATGAAAAACAAGAGGCCAAGGAAGGGATGGATCACAGGAGGAAACCTGGAGTTCTGGCCATGCAGTGGCCAACACCCTCTGCAGGTCCTACTTTGCTGACACTCCGTCACATCAAGTGTGTATGTAAGGACATTCAGGTATAGAGAGCTAAATGACACATGGAAGAACACACAAGTAAATATGAAGCTGAGGATCATAACCTTGGTTTCTCTCCTCACCACTATACTACTAAGCAAGGAACTATTAAATCTACAGGAATATAGTTTGTCAGAGTTAAATCTGTTTTGGTTTGAAATAAGATGGATTCAGTCTACTTACTTACCAAATGAACATTTGTTGTGTTTGTGTTGTTTTTTTATTTTTTAAAGGCACATTTCCTACCTTCACTCAGAGAAGGGCGAATAGGTGGTGAAACCAATGGGCCAAAGGTTTCCAAATCAAAACGTCCAGTACGGGATTGAGCCTTCAGTAGCCAATAGCGTTTCTCCAGATCAATGATGTCTGATTCCTCCACTAAGAATTAAATCAAACAGATTATAAACTCGGAATGCCCTTCTGAGCCATTAGTTTATCCTGACATATGTCTTTTAAGGGCATATTTTCTCAATTAAACTACTAAAACCAATTATGCCCAAAATATACACTAAAAGATAAATTTATCATATTTAAAAACTGTAAGAAAATGAAATCAAAGTAACAAAAGCATGAGATTGTAAAACTCAGAGAAAAAGAAACTATAATTTCTCATTAAGAAGACTGATAAAGCCGGCAGTGGTGGTGCACGCCTTTAATCCCAGCACTCGGGAGGCAGAGCCAGGCGGATCTCTGTGAGTTCGAGGCCAGCCTGGGCCACCAAGTGAGTTCCAGGAAAGGCGCAAAGCTACACAGAGAAACCCTGTCTCGAAAAACAAAAAACAAACAAACAAAAATCTACCATATAAAATCATATACTACTAAGCCATTCTAGTTCTTTTCAACCTCCATCTTAGATTTAATTTTTTTACGCACATCTTCTCTCCTGGTTAGAAAGTTTAATGAGCACAACAGCAGGCAGGGCTCACATTTAACTCACACAGTCAACACAATGTGCTAGGTAACAAACAGCAAAGTCATGAAAGGTTAAATATGAACACAAACTCCAAGCATGGTTACATTTCAAGGGTTTCTGTTTCCCTCCCAAGCAATTAATATAAATTTTTTGAAGCACATAGGTATTTATTCTCAGCTAAATATGGTACTCAAAGTTATCTTACTAAAATAAAACGCAATTCTGGGATTGTCCCTTTAGGGCTATAATGAAATATCAACTGGCGTCAGACTTGCCCTCTGGCACTAAATGGCTAGAAACTACAAAGAGTCTAGACAGGAACAGTCAGTATGAAAGCTTCAAAAGGGTATGCCTGGCAAATTTCAAGAAGAGAATGAAGGCAGAGTGACTGAAATGGAGTTAAGAAAGGGGAAAGACAGTAGAGGGAAAGGCAGAAATTTCCAGGAATTATATTACATAGACTACTGCAAGAACTTTGGTTCTAAGTGAAAGGTAAATTACTGCAGTAAAGGTGCAAAACAAGATTTAGCCTGCAGATTCACTCTTCATTAAGTTGAGAAAAACCTGAGAAGCTCCACAACACAAAAGAACAGTTCTCTTCTCCACTAAAGAGAGGGGCAAATACTCAATACACGCCATCAGAAAGCACTGAACTACAACAGATTAACAAGCCCAAGACAGACAGTGCTCAAAATTTGGGAGAATAAAAATATAAACAGAATTCTTCTACAGCTCTGCTTCAAGATTTTGCAACATTGTTCTCCAAGATATCAGCATGGCTTAATTTCAGACACCTTCAGATCCTCAAACCATCTAAACTGGACTACATTCAAAGACTCTCCTCCACTGCTTATCAACATCTGATACAATCTGCTTACCTATTTTTGTTTATCTTTGTTTCTCCCAATTAGAAATATGCTCAAGGCCAAGGTTTTCAGTTTGTTTTGTTCACAGTAATATCCTAAATTATTAATTTAGGATAACCAATGACACCACTTAAACATTCAATAAATAAATTTAAGAAATAATAACCATTTGTTGAGGTTTTATTTCATATATATAGCAAAAAAACATAGTCGTGACAATATGTTCTTAGGGTTAAGAACTTCTGGAAAGTTCTTACCTTGATGTGACCAATATTCATGTTTATACCCACAAATTAGTGCTGTGCCCAGCCTTCATCAGAGAAACTACTAACTGCAGTAGGCAGCAGTTAATTCAGAAACCCATAACTGGCCCAAAAAGGGACAGCTATCAGTGGATACTGTGGAGGAGAGAATGGAAAGAGTATGAGAGCCAAGATCAGGGAGATGTGCAGCCAAGAGATGTCTCAGGACATAGCACAGCCATTGCATTCATGAACTCCCAGCAGCTGTGGCTCTCTGCATAAGACCTGCACAAGACTAAGCCTTTCAGCAGCACTGCACATGGGGAGGGGAGGGAGAGTCTCCAGAGAGACTATTAGCAATTAGAGGTTCTTGAGGGAGGGCATCATCTCTTCAGTGGTGCACCCACAGACAAGTTACCCTTGCTCCACCTTCCACTCACCCTCAAGTCAGTGGTTGGGCAAGTAAACTATTAAACTCAATGGGCCATACACAAAAAGACATAAAAGTAGGCGGCAGAGTTGTTAAGAAGGGTTCTGAAGGGAGAAGGGTGAGTCATGGGAATGGGGAAGGGATGGCCAAAATGATCAAAGTTTATTATATAAATATGTGAAACTACCAAACATTTCTTTTTTTTTTTTTTTTGGTTTTTTGAGACAGGGTTTCTCTATCTAGCCTTGGCTGTCCTGGATCTCACTCTGTAGACCCGGTTAGCCTGGAACTCACAGAGATCTGCCTGTCTCTACCTCCTGAGTGCTGGTATTAAAGGCGTGCGCCACCACCGCCTGGTTCTACCAAACAAATTTTAAAGTGTGTGCACGGGTGGGCGTGCACCTGTGCACGTAGGTGCTTATGTCCATGTGTGGATATGTGGAGGCTAGAGGCTGAGGTCAAGTGCCTGTGTTCCTATATTCCTCTCCATCTTATTTTGTGAGACAAGGCCTCTCATCTAACCTGGAGCTAAGTCTTCTGGCTAGCCTGGGAGCTAAGTGAGTTCCTGGGAATCCACTTGTCTCTACCCTCTCCTACTAACACCAGAATTACAGATGTACACCATAGTACCTGCCTGTTATGTGGGTGCCAGGGATCCAAACTCAGGTCTCCATGCATGTGCAGCAGGTACTTTACCAAATGAGTCATTAGCCTCCTCAATCTTATGTTTTGAGATATGGTCTCTAAATAAATTTGGATCTTATTTATTTAGCAAGACAGCTGGACAGTGAGTTCCAGGGATCCTCCTGTCTCTACCTCCCCAGTACCAGGATTACAGGCATATACCACCAAATCTGACTTTTACATGGACGATGGGTATCTGGACTCAGGTCCTCATGCTATGCATCAAGAACTTTACCAACTGAGCTATTTCTCCAACCCCTAGGTCTTTTATTTTTAATCTTATTATTGTAATTATTAGTATGTGTTCATGGGGGTAGGGAGCATATGGTGTGTTTGTGTGTAGGCTACAGGACAATTTAATAGAGCCAGTCTTCTCCTTTTATCTTTATGAGAATTTCAGAAATCAAGCTGAGCCATCTCATCAGCAAGTAGTTTAAGGAAACAGCAAATAAACTCTTATCATAACCTTTTGGTGAGACAACACTATAAAAGTCACTGGAAAGGAAACTAGGTTTTGTTTTGTTTTGTTTTAAATGTATACAGTGTTCTGCCTGCATGTGCGCCTGCAGGCCAGAAGAGGACACCAGATCTCATTACAGATGGTGGTGAGCCACCATGTGGTTGCTGGGAACTGAACTCAGGACCTTTGGAAGAGCAGCAGCCAGTGCCCTTAACCTCTGAGCAATCTCTCCAGCCCAAAACTAGTTTTTTTTTCCACTATGATTCAGACTTTATTGCTTATTCGTCATGTCATTCCATACAATTTTGAGTAAACAGACTCTGAGAAAATATACTGGGAGCATTATCGGGTGATGGCAATATTGATGAAAGTGTTCACCACTGCCACCATCTGCCACAGAGATTTGTACAATTCATAGAAAAAGAGTAAAAATAGTTCACTGGCATTTAACTAGCATTATTCTTTGCAATCTAAGAACCACAATAACTTGGACAAGTGTAATAATCGTTAAAACAGAACAAAACACTTTTTTTTCCATTACAAGATGTTTCTTTAAAAAAAAACCAAACAAATCAAGATGACAATAAAAACTGCACAAAAAGAAGCCGGGTGGTGGTGGCGCACGCCTTTAATCCCAGCACTCGGGAGGCAGAGCCAGGCGGATCTCTGTGAGTTCGAGGCCAGCCTGGGCTACCACGCGAGTTCCAGGAAAAGGCGCAAAGCTACACAGAGAAACCCTGTCTTGAAAAAACCAAAAAAAAAAAAACTGCACAAAAAGAACCTTGAAAATAAAAGATGCCATAGTCTGGGTGTCTTCAATCTCAATATTACTCCAAGAGACAAAATGGGAGTCAGCTTTTTCAAATGAGAGCAAACTCTTTCACGGTAACCACACTTACTTTACAGCTCATATAATTTAACTGAAGTCAAGGGTAACTTTGGAAAATCTATGGATACCTACCTCTTAATCTGCTCTTACGCTAAGGTAACTTCTTTAAAAGCTAATTGTTGGTCTACACTACCCAGTACAACTTGGCATTCTAACAACGTTGAAGCACACACGGTCATCATAACTCACATACACACAGCAGTAAGTTTTCAGGTAAAACTATAGCAAGTTTCCTCTCCTAATGATTTTAAAAACCAAGCATGTATAACAACAGTTCAGCATGTGAAAGATTTGTATGTCTATTATTAAAAATCTGAGTCATCTCTCCAGCCCAAAACTAGTTTTTTTTTTTTTTTTTTTTTTCCAAGACAGGGTTTCTCTGTGTAGCTTTGGAGCCTGTCCTGGGACTCACTTGGTAGCCCAGGCTGGCCTCGAACTCACAGAGATCCGCCTGGCTCTGCCTCCCGAGTGCTGGGATTAAAGGCGTGCGCCACCACCGCCCGGCAAAACTAGTTTTTAATACACACAAAACTTCTACTTAAGAATACTGCTTCTGGGCCAGGATGGTGGAGCACGTCTTTAATCCCAGCACTTGGAGCAAGTTCCAGGCCAGCCAGAGCTACACAGAAAAACCCTGTGTCTGCCCCCACCCCCCAACAACAACAATAACAAAAACCCTGAAGTACCCACTTCAAATACTCAGCTAACTAGACTTGTTTAAAAGACAGTATTTTTTTTTTTTGGTTTTTCGAGACAGGGTTTCCCTGTGTAGCTTTGCGCCTTTCCTGGAACTCACTTGGTAGCCCAGGCTGGCCTCGAACTCACAGAGATCCGCCTGGCTCTGCCTCCCGAGTGCTGGGATTAAAGGCGTGCGCCACCCCCGCCCGGCTAAAA